TCTATCCCAGGATACTGAAGAAAACAAAGGAGGAGATTGCCGAGACCTTAACTACAAATTTTTGTATCTTCTTTAGCTACAGGCGAGGCCTCAGAAGACTGGAGAATAGACAATGTTGTTCCCTTTGTTCAAGAAAGGCAACTGGAATAATCAAGGAAACCATAGGCCTTTAAGTCTTACATCAATAGGGAAATTATTGAAGAAGATTCTTAGAGGCAGAATTTACTTACATCGGAAAAAGAACAGATGTATCAGGGATGGGTAACATGGGTTTATGCAGGGGAGATCTTGTTTCACAAATTTGATTGATTTTTTGGGGAAATGACAAAGATGATTAATAAGGCTAGGGAAGTGGATGTTATCTACATGGACTTTAGTAAAGCATTTGACAAGGTCTGTCATGTTAGGCTGGTCCAGAAGATTAAAACACATGGAATTCATGGTGAGTTGGCAAGTGGATACAAATTGGCTAAGCAGTAGCCCTTGCAGCAGAGTCATGGGTCAGGCTGAAATATGACTTTATCACAGAATCATAAAATGTGGCATAAATGTATTGATTAGGGAGGGGAAGGTTGAAGATGGCTTGCCCCACCCCCCCCGCCCCGGAAGAAAAGTTGGCTCGGCTTCATTAGCAAATAGTGGAGGTTCTGTCCTTCATTAGGAGGTAATCACACTCTGGAGTTGCCAACCAATTTGATTGGCCGACATCTCCACTTGTCTTGGCCGTACCAGATGCCCGTAATGGGAAAAGTTCCTGATCAGCTACTTCTAGAGTCAAACAGCACGGATACAGACCCTTCAGTCCAACCAGTTCATGCCGAAGGGTGGAAAGGAACTCCATGCTGCCGCTGTCCTGTTCATCCCAACGATTTCAACTTTGCTCGCAAGACTATTATGTGACAGTCCATCAAATGTCTTTCCGAAATCCATACACACCGTTTCATCTGCATTATACCTAACAGCAATCTCTGGTCCTTAAGTATTTGTCTCTTATTAGGCTTGTAATAGCTGTTATTTCTGGAGATTGAGCACAATTATTAGATTTAGCTGCTGTGTTTCAGCTTCCAAAACTCCATGGCATTGATATGAATGGAAAGTGCAGTGGGTTGAGATTTCATAAGTCTGAAAAATGATGTGAAGTTCGATACTTCAATTGGTAATGCTTGTAGAGTTAGAGAGTCATATAGCACAGAAAAAGACCCTTTGGTCCATACTGAACAAGTTTCCTAACTAAATTTGTCCCACTTCCCTGCTTTTGGCCCATATCCTTCCAAATTTTTCCTATTCATGAGTTTATCCCAATGTCTTTTAAACCTTGCAACTGTATCTGCATCCACCGCTTTCTCTGACAGTTCATTCCATACACAAACGCCTCTCTGTGTATAAAAAAAAAAAACAAGTTGCTCCTCACATCCCTTTTAAATCTTTCTCCTCTCACCTTAAAAATATGATCCCTAGTTTTGAATGCTCCCACCAACGGAAAAGATGTTTGCAATTCACCTTATCCATGTCCCTCATGATTTTATAAGGTGACTCAATAAGGCCACCCCTCAACCTCCTTCCCTCAAGTGGGGAAAGGTCCCTATCCAGCCTCTCTGTAACTCAAACCCTACAGTCCTGGCAATGTCCTTATAAACCTTTTCTGAACTCTTCTCTAATTTAATTATACCCTTCCTGTAGCAGGGCGACTAGGACAGTGCACGTGCTCCAAAAGTGGCCTCAAACAACGTCCTGTACAACCTGAACATTACATCCTAATTCCTATGCTCAATGGTCTGAGCAATGAAGGCAAGCGTGCTAAACACCTTCTTAACCACCTGTCTACCAGTGATGCAACTTTCAAAGAACTATGTACCTGAACCACTAGGACTCTCTGTTCAACAACACTACTGAGGGCTCTACCATTAACTGTATAAGTCCTGCCCGTGTTTGTTTTACCAAAATGCAATACCTCGCATTTCTCCAAATTAAACTCCACCTGTTGCTCCTCGGCCCATTGGCCCAATTGATCAAGATCCCTTTCTAATCTTAGATAATCTTCTTCACTGTCGACTATACCACCAATTTTGGTGTCATCTGCAAACTTACTAACCATGCATCCTGTATTCTCATCCAAATTGTTTATTGGGAAGGAGGAAATACAAAGTGAACTATTATTTGAAGAAATTACTTTTATTTTCTCAGGTCTATATTATTTGGTTGGAATAAAACATTTAGAAGGATTTTTATAAATTCCTCTTTTGTAGTGTGATCAGTGTGCCATCTGAAACAGGAAGGCGATTGTCTGAAATTAATAACAAAATCATATAAATTGGCATACGACAAAGAACTACAGATGCTAGAGATCTAAAACATGCAAAAAGAGAAATTACTGGGGAAATTCAGCTGGTCTGGCAGCATCTGTGGAGAGAAAGCAATTAATTTTTCAAGTCCAGTGTCTGGTTCTGAAGAAGGGTCACTGGACTCAGCATTAGCTCTATTTTTCCCCCCATAGATGCTGCCACATCTGCTGAGTTTCTCCAGCAATTTCTGCCTTTGTATGTACTATAAATATACCAATTGGCTTATCAATACCTGAACGAAACAAAAGGAGTTTGCATCTTAAACATACACCTTTGTCAACTCCATGAACAAAGAGTTGACACAAAAAAGACCTGTAATTTCACCACTTCCTTTTTTTATTTGTGATTTTTGCATTTTATAATGAACACTGTACTTGTGTGATAGATTGTTACATGGAAACTTCATTTATGTTTCTTGCAGGCTTAACAACCTTTATTGCTATAGCCAAGAAATTGCCATGCCCTGAACTGTATGATGTTGTAAATGGGTACATTAAGATTTCAGCTGAATGTACAGAAATCTTCAAGCTTCTTGATGGAGAGGGACGACCAGAAAATGAGGTGAATGCAGTTGATGTTCAATGTGAAAAATAACGTTTAACTTGCCACAATCAGTTTACTGTTTCCAGTCTTGTCACTAGTAAAGCGTGAGGGTCTGAAATATTCAAGCAGCGCTCCCTTGAATAATGAAAAATATGCAGCTAGTCAGTTATGGATTTTAATGGCTGTAGGGAGATGTTGGGGATGGGGGAGCAGTGAGTGGAGAAGTGTAATACAACAGGGTGAACCTGTCAGTTCTCCTCTGTTCAGCTTTCTTGCTACTGAGGCATTTTCTCAACAGTATATTGGATTGGAGAGTTTGCCTGTTCATTTGAGGCAGGGGCCATGGTCATAATTAAGAGCTATTTAATGGCAGGTGACTTTCTGGTGTGTGGAGAGCATGCCAATTGGATGGAAGTAAACTTCAATGAAGCAGACAGGAGTAGGCGGAAGGAACTGTGTGCCCCCATGACCCTATTAATTTCCCTGGCACGTAACGTCAGGGCAGTAAACTTGCTCAACCCTTCACCAGTGAGAAAATTCCTGGGATCATGCACCAATTAGATGCTTAGATGCTTAAATGCTTTCCTGTGAGCGTCTTGTCCAATCAGGTACCTCGCCACTGAAGTGCTGCCTCACCTGAGGCTGCTGGCCAGTCAGAGGCAGGCAGCCTCAGGGAGTGGAAGTACATTGCTGGGGACTCAGACTGCATAGTCATGAAGAGTGGCACCTGCTGCCAGGTAAGGATTATATTTTGGAGGGGGCCATCACTGGAAGCAGTTCAGAGGCAAGGATAAGGGAGTGGCTTTCAGAAGGCACCCCAGGCCCCAGTTATACCTAAATTCAGGACATTAAAAGGCTCCCCTCCCCATCAACTAACCAGACAGATTCCCTTGTTTCCTCTTCAGAAATGAAGTCACTTTTCTTCCTTCCTGGGAAGACAGATAATTGGGCAAGTAATGTGTTGAGGCACTCGACTAAGCCATTAATTGAAAACTGAATGGCCTTAGTTGGTGGTGGGTTGAGAAGAACATCCATGCAACCTCTTGCCCAGATCTTAATTGCTAAGGTGGTGGGAAGGAGATCTGTACCTCTGCACTCTGACTCACTCGATTATTTCTCTTTCTTGGCGACACTGGGAGAGTAAAATTACATCCCTGGTGGGAGTTGGATTGAAAATATGACAGGCGAGTGGAAACTCGACGCTATGCTTTCTGATTGACCAGAGTTTCTCCTCGGGGCAATCAGTCATGCTATATTTGGTCTCCTCACTGTCAGGGAGAACGCATCTTTGTATTACTAGGTAATATAAACTGCTGACCAGCCTTGTTTCTCATCTTGTATTTCTTCATGCTAAAAATATTTGTATGTGTTCATTTCATTCTGCTTTCATCTGGCCTGTAGTCGGAGGCTGACAACCATCTATCAAGTGGCAAATTTCACGTGCCAGTGCAATTTGATTTTGATGTTTTAAAGACCAAGTTAACTGAAATATACTAAACCTTGGCTGGTCAGACAACCTTGTGTTTGCCTCGAACGGTAGTTGAACCCAACTTGCTGGGGACGTGCCTTGGATGAACCACTCCTCCAGCAATTTAAAATATATTACCATCGTTTCCATTGAGAAACTTATGAAATGAAGAAATAATCATGGCGAACTGACTCAATTTATTGCATTGTCCCTCAGATAATTCTGATTTTCCAAACTTTGGAGGCCATTTTGCTGAGGACCGCCAGCGACCTTGCACATTTTAGTGCAGTGGGGATAAACATAGTGAAGACGTTGCTGCGTAATTACATAAAGTTAATCTACACAGCACTCTACTCAGCAAGTCACAGGTCAGTACTATAGAGAGAGCTGACAGATGCTAATAAAGAAGTTGATGTGGCAATATTTACATTTATTGGCCATAGATAATCTCAAAACTCAATCACAAATTGTGTACGTCAGTATGCGTGCTCCAATTTTCTGTGTTTCTCTCCATCTGATCCAGTGCATGCATTTTTGATACAATGTTTAAAGAGAAAGAGATTGCATTTACATAGACTCAAAGTTCTCAGAATGCCAAAGCACTTGAGAGGTAGTGGATTAATTATAAAAGCAGTTATTGGTGCTTCAGGTTCAAACTTAGCAGCTAATTTGTATGCTGAAGTCCCACAAACAGAAATTGGGGGTAAATTTAATCTGCCATTGACCAGGATAAAGGAGAATTTTCTGCTCTATTTCGAAAAATGGAATGGCATGTTTTACATCTCTCTAAACAGCTCGGTGAGGCCTCGGATTAAAACCTGATCCAAATCACAGCATCTATAGCTGTGTAGCACTCCTCAGTACAGTACTGAATTGTTAAACTGAGTTGTGCGCTCAAATCCAGGATGGGAAATAAAACTTATAATTTTTGACTTAAATGTACCATACTGATAAGTTGATACATCCAAACAAAATGCATAGAAAGCTATAATTGTTCCATAACTGAATATTAACTGAGTTCTGAAATAGAGATTCAAAGAAATCTATGGAAATCAAAATTAGAAAGTGCTGAAACGACACAGCTGAGGAGAGGTGACAAGAACTTTACACCTACCTATTGAGCTTTTGTGATCCCGAATGCGTTCCTAATTGGGCTGACAGAGGCACGTAGAGCTCAATGAAGTCCTTGTATACTGTGAAATTTTTTGATTTGCAGGTGTCTGAAAAGAGAAGACAGATTAACATTTTATGGACTATTTGCTAGAACTCAGAAAGGACAACAGTTAAGGACAGCATGGTAGCTCAATGGCTAGCACTGCTGCCTCACAGCACCAGGAATCCGGGTACGATTCCAACCTTGGATGATTGTCTGTGTGAAGTTTGCACAGTTTCTGCGTGTCTGTGTGGGTTTCCTCTGGATGCTCCAGTTTCCTCCCACAATCCAAAGTGTGCAGGTTATGTGGATTGGCCATGCTAAATTGCCCATACTGTCCAGGTACGTGGATTAGCCATGGGAAATGCAGGGCTACTGGGACGGGATGTGGGGTGGGTCTGGGCGGGATGCTATTTGGAGGCTTGGTGTAGACTCAATGCCTGAATAGCCAGCTTCCACCCTGTAGGGATTCTGTGATTAGATAAGAACCTTTTCAGGGTTGACCAGACCTCAAATATGTTACTTTTGCTTAAACTCTTTCATGGGATGTGGGTACAAGGTTGATCTTTCCCTGCACCTTCTCTGTAGCTGTAACATTATATTCTGCGTGATATTCTATTACCGTAATGAACTTATATAAGGTATCATTTGTCTGGTTAGCACAAAAGAAACTTCTTTTCATTGTATCTCAGTGCATGTTACAACAATAACTCAAATCAAAAATTGCTCAGAGAGCAGTTATGAGTCGACTACGTTTCTGTGGGGCTGGAGTTAAAGTAAAGATGACAGATTTCCCTCCCTAAAGGACATTAATGAACCAGATAAGTTTTCACCACAATCAGTGGTAGTTACATGATTGTCATTAGGCCAGCCTTTAAGTCCAGATTTGATTCAATTCAAACCTCACCATAGCTGGATTCAAATTTATGTCCTCAGAACATTAACCTAGAGTTCTGGATTACTACATTGATGTTACCATTATGCCTCCCCTTGGTGAATTATCACAGCATATTCAGACAACCATCGATAATACACATTATTTCGAGGGAATTTTATGCTTGTACATAGATTGTGTATTTAAATAATTCCTAGCAATTGGCACCAATGGGCAATGGATTTGAGGATCAGATACTGAAATGGAGCTGGAATAAGACAATTGAACATTTTGGAGGTTCGTCAGTGCACATCATTCCAATGTTGGCGCTAGGGTTCAAAAAAGTGGCAGCATTGTTACTATGAGATAACAAAGTGTAGAGCTGGATGAACACAGCAAGCAAAGCAGCATCAGAGGAGCAGGAAGGCTGACGTTTCAGGCCTAGACCCTTAGAAGGATCTAGGCCGGAAACGTCAGCCTTCCTGCTCCGCTGATGCTGCTTTGCCTGCTGTGTTCATCCAGCGCTACACCTTGTTATCTCAGATTCTCCAGCATCTGCAGTTCCTACTATCTCTGAAACAAGCATTGTTACTATGGTGCTTCTTTCACTCAAGCCTCTGGCAACTATCTGTATGGAGTTTACATATTCTCCCTGTATCTGCGTGGGTTTCCTCCAGGTCCTCTGGTTTCCTCCCACAGTCCAAATATGTGCAGGCTAGTTGGATTAGGTTTAGGGATAAGGTATAGGGATGATTCTGGGTGAGACTTTTTTTTGGAGAATTGGTGTGAAGTGGATGGGCCAAATGACCTGCTTCCACGCTGTAGGGATTCTATGATTCTATGTCTGAGATCTCCTTACTTATCAGCTTCTCAACTTCCTGCTGACAGTTGGGGGACCTACAATACAATCCCAACAAGGTGATCATCCCTTTCTTATTTTTTAAGTTCCACCTATATAATAACTTCACTGGATGGTCTCCCAGGAATATCCTCCCTAGGTATAGCTGTAATGTTCTCCCTGTCCATATGTATGTAGAAGTTCCACTCTCTAATTTCCAGAACTGTGTAAAAACTTTGCAGCACCATGATACATTATTTTTTCATTTTTGGTTTAATTTGTTACTGGAGAACAGATGCAGTTGTACAACATCATGGTGAAGTAGCAGGGTTACACTTTGATATTTATGATGGTAATGTTGACAACAGTTTCAATTGATGAATTTAGAATAATCACGCAAGCAGTATATTCAGACAACACTGAATTGTACTGGCCTAGTTGTGGTTTGAAGATTAACATTTGAGAGTAATATATCTCAATGAAAAGTAAACCCAGTGACCATGCATTTGTTGCAAAACAGGTATTTTTTGATTCTTGATATTTATTTTGATATTTTTTCCTTCTGTTAGGTATAACCGAGCGTGCTTTTGTTTGATGTCTGCAATGGTGAGCCAGGGTCCAGATGCTGCTCGGGACTTTTTGAGCCAGTTTGATTTCAACAACAAAAGGTTGCCAAACTTATTGAAAAGTAGAGATAAACAGGTAAGTGCTTCATTCTCTAATGGTTTAGCCTATATTCATAAACGCATTTTGATATTTGTAATAATGACTCTGTTCAATATTGGGTAAAGTATTTCCTTGTTTATTGCTGATTCAGACAGACTAAGGGAACATTATTCTTCACATCAAAATCTGGTCTTTAATATGTGATGTGTTATCTTCTATTAAGGAACTGGGGCAGTGTGTGGACTTGTATCTGTCCTGAAATATGAGCAGCTTTGGCTGGATGTGGTTGTGATGTCAGTATTATGTTGAGGTATTGGGTTTACAAAGTCTTCGTATTGAAAGGTGCCAAGCAGTAACGTAGTTATAAAGTGTGATAAATTAACTAACATTCACGTTCTCAAAATTAAAATTGAATGAAGAGTATTGACAATTGAGATTCCAAGTTCCACTGGTCTGCCTTTTCTATTGTTATTAGCAGGAGTAGTATTGGAGTGGTGCTACAGTCAGTACTTAGGCGTAATGGGATTGGAAGAACAATTTACTTCTAAATGAGAAGCAGCACTGCTGGATTAGGTGTGTAAATGGAAATAGAATGGAGACAAAATTGAACTCTGATTAGATGTTCTGTTATATTTGAATAACCTGCAAAATTCTGCACATGTCCATGCATGAAGATTGGCTAATGATTAAGATGCTTGATGATGTACAGAACCAAATTTTGAAAGGAGTCTCCCCCTTGTCCTCACGTACCACCCCACCAACCTCCAGATCCAACGCATCATCCTCCGACACTTCCGCCATCTGCAATCCGACCCCACCACCGGAGGGACCACTCTCTCCGTGACTCCCTTGTCCGCTCCACACTCCCCTCCAGCCCCACCACACCCGGCACTTTTTCCTGCAACCGCAGGAAGTGCTACACCTGCCCCCATACCTCCTCCCTCACCCCCATCCCAGGCCCCAAGAAGACTTTCCACATCAAGCAGGTGTTCACCTGCACATCTGCCAATGTGGTATACTGCATCCGCTGTACCCGGTGTGGCTTCCTCCACATCGGGGAAACCAAGCAGAGGCTCGGGGACCGCTTTGCAGAACACCTACGCTCGGTTTGCAATAAACAACTGCACCTCCCAGTCGCGAACCATTTCAACTCCCCCTCCCATTCCTCAGACGACATGTCCATCCTGGGCCTCCTGCAGTGCCACAACGATGCCACCCGAAGGTTGCAGGAACAGCAACTCATATTCCGCTTGGGAACCCTGCAGCCCAATGGTATCAATGTGGATTTCACAAGCTTCAAAATCTCCCCTCCCCCTATCGCATCCCAAAACCAGCTCGTCCCCGCCTCCCTAACCTGTTCTTCCTCCCACCTATCCCCCTCCTCCCACCTCAAGCCGCACCCCCATCTCCTACCCACCAACCCCCCCCCAAAAAAAAAAAAAAAAAAAAAAAAAAAAAAAAAAAAAAAAAAAAAAACCCCACCTACACTCACCTTTACTGGCTCCATTCCCGCCTCTTCGACCTGTTTGTTTCCTCTCCACCTATCCTCTCCTCTATCCATCTTCTATCCGCCTCCCACTCTCTCCCTATTTATTTCAGACCCCCTTCCCCTCCCCCTTTTCTGCTGAAGGGTCTAGGCCCGAAACGTCAGCCTTTCTGCTCCTATGATGCTGCTTGGCCTGCTGTGTTCATCCAGCCCTGCACCTTGTTGTCTCGGATTCTCCAGCATCTGCAGTTCCTACTATCTCAAAGTCTATTAGTTACTGGTTAGAGGCAGCAGCTTACAGCAACTAGTGAGGGGAAAATAAATTGGTTTTATTCAGGCTTTAGGTATTTTACGAGAGAAAAAGATACATCATCTGCTCTTGCAGCAGTCCGAAAGCTTCTGCCTTTATTGATCACACTCTCAAGCTGTGTAGCTGACTGGGAGCCAAACAGGTAACTTTTGTCAGGTTGATGGTGTTTGTCATCCTCAAATGGTCATAACTTCACAAAACAATTTTAAGGTCATTGAGTATATTTAAGGCAGAGATAGATAGGTTCTTGATTATCAAGGGGACCAAAGGTTATGGGGAAAATATGGGAGATTAGGGTTGAGAAACTTATCAGCCATGATTGAATCTGCTCCACCATTCAATGGTCCGAATGGCCCAATTTCTGCTCCTATGTTTTTTGGTCAATCTGTAATGTGTTGCCAGATGAATCTCACTTTGTACACACCCTGGTGTCAGTCCATCCGCAAAAGGCTGCCTCTACTGCTTGAACAAAGGAGCAGTGTAAACTCAGCTTGCAATGTGCTTCAGTAACTTGCTGTTTAAAAATGCATCCACCCCGTCCTTAATCCTTAGTTTTAAAACAGCCCTTTTCCCATTTCAGTCCCAATCAAGAACACAGAAAAATAAAAACACAGGAACTTTAGAATTAAACAAAACGTTTGGAGTGATAATAGCCAAATGCAGGCAAGTGGGACTATTTTAGTCTGGGAATATGGTCAACATGAACTAGTTGGATGGAAGGGTCTGTTTCCATGCTGTATGACTCTATGACTCAATAAGTTGACCTAAATTGACTAGAAGTGGCAATCCCTCGTTGTAAACATAATATTTCATGTCATTATTTTAAAAATAACAGGGTAAATGTTCAAATTAGTATTCGTAGAATCACAGAAGAATCATAGAATCCCTACAGTGTGGAAACAGGCCCTTCGGCCCAACAAGTCAACACCGAACCTCAGAGCATCGCACCCAGACCCATCCCCCTGTAACCCACCTAATCTACACATCCCTGAACACTATGGGCAATTTAGCATGGCCAGTCCACCTAGCCTGCACATCTTTGGACTGTGGGAGCACCCAGAGGAAACACACGTAGACATGGGGAGAATGTGCAAACTCCACACAGACAGTCACCCAAGGGTAGAATTGAACCCGAGTCCCTGTTGCTGTGAGGCAGCAGTGCTAACCACTGAGCCATCATGCCGCCCTATTCTTTTAGCTGCTGATTTGTTTTAAAGATGCCTATAAGAACTTCATGGTAAAGTTCGACTGTGTTTGACATTGGCACAGATCAATAGAGAGGAAATTCAGAATACTTGAGCACCCAGTATAATATTTACATATTTCCTGGCCAAAGCACACCTCATTAGAAAGTATAATTGAAAATACATAGTGGCTTGATATGAAATATGGTAAGCATATCTGTAGCACACCCACGCACGCTGTGGTTATATTTAAAAGTAATAGAATCATTCCATATTGCTCCTGTTTCTTTATTCATAGAAATATACTATAGTATACACAAATGCCTGTACAATGATAGCTCAATAGAAATTTAGCGCAATAATTCAATCAAACAATGTATGGTTTAGGGCGCAATGATAAATATGATAAATACTGTGGATCTGCTCACTGTTAGAAATGTTCATACAACATTCTACAAATGTCACTGTTTTAGGATACTAGTCATTACTGCAGACACTGTGGCACATCAGGGAGAAAGAAATTACTTTGACACCTTATTCCAGGAAGCATGAACACCCCTTAGAACAGGTTCTTCTGATGTGAACACAAGTCAGGGAAAGAAGGGCATACTTGTCAGTGAGGCTGATGTAGGGCTTAAGAGCCTCAGCAATTGTAATTGACTGGCAGCGATGAGATTCTTTTAGCTTGTATGATATTGAGGGTGTGATTTATATATCACTTATTTTAGTGTTTGGATTTTGAACGAGTGGCATGTGGGTTTTTGTTTGTGTGTATGAGGGAGTTTAAAGAGTTCCTTGTCAGTATTTCTGGACCTTTTTGTTTTATTAAAACAAGCATGAGAGTGCGAGAGCTCCTGGAGTGGTAATGGAATTATTTTTTGTCTTGGGAGAGTATTTTAAAGTTTGAGAAAGCAAGTATTGAAAAGCATTATAGAGTCATCATCATAGATCATCGTCATAGAATCCCTACAGTGTGGAAACAAGCCCTTCGGCCCAACAGGTCTACACTGACCCTCAGAGCATCCCTCCCAGACTCATTCCCCCTATAACCCACCTAATCTACACATCCCTGAACACTGCTGGCAACTTCGCATGGCCAATCCACCTGGTCTGTACATCTTTGGACACATAGAGTTGTACAGCACGGAAACAGACCCTTTGGTCCATCTCGTCCATGCTGAGCAGATATCCTAAATTAATCTAGTCTCCTTTGCCAGTATTTGGCCCATATCCCTCTAAACCCTTCCTATTCATATACCCATCCAGATGCCTAATAAATGTTATTGTACCAGCCTCCACCACTTTCTCTGGCAGCTTGTTCCATACACACACCACCCTCTGTGTGGAAAACGTTGCCCCTTAGGTTCCTTTTAAGTCTTTCTCCTCTCACTTTAAACCTATGCCCTCGAGTTTTGGCCTCCCCCCACCCCAGGGAAAAGACAAAGAACAATACAGCACAGGAACAGGCCCATTGGCCCTCCTCGCATGCGCCGCCACATTTTGCCCTTCCATACTAAAACTGTTTTCACTTACAGAATCCGTATCCCTCTTCCCTTCCTATTTGAATAGACCTTGTCTAGCCACCCTATCTATGCCCCTCATGATTTTATAAATATCAGCCTTTGATGCTCCAGGGAAAATAGCCCCAGACTATTCGGCTTCTCCCTATAGCACAAACCCTCCAAATTAGCTTTCTTTTGCTTAGGGAAACAAAACAGAGATTGGAAAGTTTTTGGCTTTCAGTTTGCAGAAGTTTTGTTTGAATTTAAATGTAAGAATCGTCTCTCCTGGAGAAAGAAGTTTAGCTCAGAACAGTTAGGTTACCTCACTGTAAGGGTTTTAGTTTGAAATTCCAGCGCAGAAGTGTTTAGTTAGAAATCTGAAATTATTTGAAGCTGAGAAAGTCTAAGCTGCATTGTATGATTAATCAAGAAAATGTATTAAACTCTAATGAACAGGAATTAAAGGAAACAGTTAAGACAAACCTAAAGGTGTGCTATACATCAAGCTCTCTGGTATTTGAGTACTGTAGTGATAGTGAAAATACAATCTTAACCATCACTTAACACTATCTGTTTTGAAATCTTTCTAATTGTATTATGTGTACATAGTTTGGTTTAATCTATTTTAACTCCATTTCTTTTGTGTCATAAATCTGTTTTACTGAAAATCAAATCTGCAGCATTGTGTGCTTGTGCTTCAGTGGAAGACCACCTCGTTAAATATATATTTTTTAAAAAAAACTATCAAGCCATATTTCAGTCTGAGATCTTACTTGTCCGGTAGTATAATCAGCTGATTCCAATAAGCAGCTTGGCAACAGAGGAGTTTCTTCATTTGGCTGATGCTGCTTATCAGAGTCACAACTCCAATATTAAGTATGTTGTTGGTGTCTTTTCCAAGCATTTAGTATGCACTTAGTATAGCTCTAAGTATGGATGTTATTAAGATTGAACCTATTTTTGTCATTTGTGCAATAAAAATATGCTGTGAATTTTGATGTTGAAAAGCTACTAATTTTCAGTGTGATAAAACAAGCTATGTAGGTATTGATGTAAAAAATCCTGTTAGGAATTGGTATTTTTAACGATATTGTGTCCTTTTCTGTAGGGCAAGCCTGATGTACGCTTGGCTTATATCCAGTTCACAGTTTCATTTCTGATTGCTGGCGACAGCAATACTATCAGCCAAGTCCTGGAATTAAAAGGTATTTTCAGTCTGGTAATTCTATAATAATAGATTATTCCATGTTTTTATATATCCCTGAAATAAAAATGATCAAAATAGATTCCAGAAAGTTTGTGTAAATAGAGTCATAGAATCCCTACAGTGTGGCAACAGGCCCTTCGACCCAGCAAGTCCACACTGACCCTCAGAGCATCTCACCCAGACCCATCCCCTATAACCCACCTAATCTACACATCCCTGGACACTCTGGATAATTTAGCATGGCTAATCCACCTAACCTGCTCATCTTTGGACTGTGGGAGGAACCCGGAGGAAACCCATGCAGATACGGGGAGAATGTGCAAATTCCACACAGACAAGGGTGAAATCGAGCCCGGGTCCCTGGCGCTGTGAGGCAGCAGTGCTAACCACTGAGCCACTGTGCCGCCCCAAAAAACCGGAGCACCCGGAGAAAACTCTCTCAGACACGAGGAGAGCATGCAACCTCCACACAGTCATCCTGGAATTGAACCCAGGTCCTGGGCACTAAAAGACAGTAGTGCTAACCATTCAGCCACTGTGCAACCCTAGAGCTAAAAATAAGTTTTTGTTATTTTGGAGCAACATATAGTGAAGGTGTAGGGCTACAGTCCAGGACACTGCTGAGATTAAAAACAGATGGAGAGAAAACTAAGTGAATCAAAATGACATAATCGGTTTGGAGATTGTAATTGGAAAGAACTGAAGTTCAGTGGTTTAAAAATCCTTCGGAAATGATGTATTAGCATAGTATTCCAAGTGACAAATCAGTAAAATGCAGGGGGAAGAAAAAGTGTGTACAACAGTGCCTCAGGAGGTCAAGACAATGAAGAAGATATTTGGGAATAGTGATGTCTTGTATCAATCATTAGTTGGAGACAAGAAAAGTTGTAAAAAATGTTTAGTCAATTACTAGTTTAAAATCACTTTGAACTAATTTGTGCATTGTTTTTAAAGATTTCATTACAGATATTTTCAGTTCTGGTCTGAAAGAAGATAGGATTTCTATCATAAATTTACTTCTGTCAGCTTTAAAAACAAAGGTTTGTTCGTCTGGATTCTGAATTTTTGCTTAGTTTTCAGTTAAGAGTTTCATCACGGAATCTTGATCCTCCATTTAGTAAAGCTTTTGTCCTAATGCCATTTTACTGGGAGGTTATTAATGTTGCTTTGCCAGCACCCAGTTACTTTTTGTTATTATGTAAGTTGAGAAAGGTAACTGAGCATAAAAGTTTTAACGTTGAATTGTAAAGATCATTGGAAGTCATTTGCTCTAACGTCTTAATAACATCATGAATTTGCAGAAATGTGACTCATTTACATTGTTGCAATTTCCGTACCACTGTCAACAAAAATTTTGCATTTTGCATGTCACAAACGTGGTGTGCTGTTGACACATGAAGTCATTGCTTTCACCAGATGAAGGCTTTAGGGAGAAACTTACAGGATTACAAGTTAATGGCCTGGGTTTTCCTTTCTCAGTCATAGTAAATACAAATCAATAAGATATGCCAATTTAAGAGTGAGATGATGAGGAATTTCTTCACTGAGGGGGTTGTGAGTCTTTCGAACTCCTTTCCACAGAGGGGTGTGAGTCCTTGTGTATATTTAAGACTGAGATTGATAGATACTTGATCAGTCAGAGAATCAAGGGTTACAGGGAAAGAGCAGGAAAGTGGATGCGAGGAGTGTTGGAACAGCAGTGATCCTAACGAATGATGGAGTAGGTTTGAGCAATGGAACGGCCTTCTCCTGTTCCTATTTCTTATGGTTTTAAAACCGTCTGAGGTTTTCTCCTTCCATCAATGTTTTTCTAATATTAGCAGGCCTGAGAAGCTAGGGAAGTTGAGGTGTCAGGAATTTTCCAGATTTGTGGACGGCAGTGTTGGGGAATGAGCAGGGGTAAAGTAATGGGGTGTGTGAGGAGATTTGATGTGGAGAGACAGATCTTGGAAGCTTGTTGAATAATTATAAAAGTATTTCTGCAAAAATACACTTTTGCCAAAGCCTTCAAGCTTTTTGTCAAGTGGACTCAATAAAATAGGTGATAGCCATTCATTGGTTCGTCTCTCAAGGTAATAGCTTGACAAATCAGAGTCAGCCTGTTTGTTTTAAAGTTTGGCAGTTAACAGCCATTAACTGGTACATTCCCCATGGCAATGCTTCTACCAATCCACTTGCTAACCAATCAGCATTCTCTCTTATGCAGTATATTGGTTGTTTTCCCTTTACGTTAATATTGTTGTGAATTGTCTTGATAAGTCCAAAACAAAAGCATTCAATTAAAATGCCTTTTTTGCAGCAGTACTCAAGTTCTCTAGGACCACATGACTACTTATGAAAGAAATAAAATTATTTAACAGTCTAACAGCATTAAATTCTCATAGAGCTTTTAAAATACTTGATATCATTTTTAAAACACCTAATCTGTTATTGATCTGAAGACTGATCTCATCAACATGTCCTCAGTTCTTGATGTCATGAGAAAGGATAGATTTGCCAGCAGTAAGCCATGTTGGAATACCTCACCTGTTTGCCCAACTCTACGTTCTGCCACAGCAGGAAGAAGTTTTTAATGTAGCTCACAAATCAGGTGACAACAAGTTTTTTTTATGCAGTCAATGCAAACACCATGACAGGAATATCTGAGCCGTTAAGGAATAGGAAATATGCTCATGCAGTGTAATTTATATTTTTATGAATAAGATGTCTATATATTGTACATTAGCTATACAAATCAAATATATTATACAAGTACAGTTTAAAAAGATTGCCCATCTAATCTCCAGAATTTTACACCTGATTTGTACTAGTGCTTTTGTCTAACTGCACTGAGGTGTGTCATGGAATAATTCGCTTTTTGTATTTCCAATCCTTAGGGTTTGGCTGAAATTGTTATGTCTGTTTTTCTCTTGTTCTTTATGTGAGTGGAATGTTAGTGTGAGTGAGAAGAGGTTTTATTTCAAACTGACTATATCACACACAATGGGACACATCACACACATTTTCGAGTATATTATGAATGATGGAATAGTCGAACATTTAGAAATAGATAATAGGATCAAGCAGAGTCAGCATGACTTCATGAGAGGGAAATCATGCATGACAAACTTATTAGAATTCTTTGAGAAGGTAGCAAGCAGGATAGAGAAATTATCTTATGGGGAGAGGTTGAGCCAATAGTAATTTGAATTTAGAAGAATGAAAGTGATCTGATTGAAACATAAAAGATTCATAGGGAGCTTGACAGGTAGATGCAGAGAGATTTCCCTTGTAGAAGAGTCCAGGAACAGAGGGCATAATCTCAGATTAAGGGGCTATCCATTTAAGGGGAGGAGGAATTTCTTCCCTTTGAGTGGGGTGAATATGTAGAATTCCTCACAGTAGAGGCTCAGTTGTTAAGTGTTCGAATCTGAGGCAAATTTTTAATCAGTAAAGGAACCAAGGATCATAAAGAAAATGGAGTTGCAGGAAAGTCAAGTTGAGGATTATTAGATCAGCTATAATCTCATTGAATGGGGAACAGACTCAATGGAATATATGGCCTACTTCTGCTCCTATGCCTTATGGCCATTATCTGGAGGAATTTACTGATGTTGCAAATTGAGGATGCAAGCCATGGATTTTCTTTTCATTTAATCCACGTAAAAACCTTGTCACCAATAACTTTGAGAAGTTCTTGTTGTAATGGTTTAATTAGATCAAATTACTTCCTTATTTTTGTCTTCTAGGTTGTCCATAATAAAACCATAAGTAAAACGCAGAAGGTTCGCTTTTTCACTGCAAGCGTTTTGACCCATATTGCTTCGTTATATCATTGGAATGGAATTATTGATGTCCAATTAAATGATGACAGGGTAAAACTTTTTTCTTAAATCCAGTCATCTGACCTCTGTGTTGTAGAACTATGTAACCTGTGACTGCCATTTCTGATCCCACTCTTCTTACTAGTCACCAGCCAACATTCCTTCAAACAGCACAATCAGAATAGTGTAGCTGGTTCCTTTACATTGGACTTTTGTTGTAGCAATTTGCGTTTTCACACAAAAGCGAACAGTAGTTATACTTGTGAAGCTCTTTGTGACGTCCTAAGGATTCGAAAAGAATGCTGTATAAATTATGTCTTCCATCTTCTTTCCACAAGATAAATAAAGTAGCAAGAATTGTGCCTATAATACTGAATGTGCCCATTGTAAAACTTTGTAGGGTTCTCCTCCAGGAGAAACCCTTTTACCCGCAGTACATTTCAAACATGGAACTTGCTCCCACATGGAGTAGTTGAGACCAATGGCATAAATGCATTTAACGGGAGGTTAGCTAGAAGCACAAGAAAGAAAGAAATCAGTTTCTGTTAATAATATGAGATAAAGTACAGTGGCTGAAAGCTTGCTATGGAGAATAGGCACCAGTGTTGACCTGATGGACACAATTTCCTGTTTCTCTACTGCAAGTACAATGTGATACTGTATAAAGCTACTGTAAAAATAAACCCTACTTAAATCCTGGCAGCATGTCCAAGATTCCAAAGTGGCTGGGAGAGACATGGTTCGAGAACTTGTACACAGTTTCTTGATGGATCTTTGCTGCTCATTGAAACATGGCATCAATTTCTATGATTCCAGCCTGGGTACAGCTAAGAGGTAGGAATGTCAACGTAATGGAAGCTTTGTGCCAAGCCGCTCTGTATGTTGTAATATTTTCAGTTGTCAATGCTTTCATGGAACTGTTCTGCCAAAAAATAACTTCTAAGTTATCTTAACTCGTAGTATGCTTAAAATTGCTTAGGCTAAGGAGATCCTTGGGTCTAAAGTAAAGCCTTTCCTCCTAAGCTCTTGTTGGACTCAATTGCAACATTCTCAGCACTTACCTGTATGTCAGTCTCTTGGACAGTACCACTTACTCATAATAATACAATAGAATACACTTACAATGTAATAAGGACCATTCTGTCCATGGGGCTGAATTATACAGGGCTCTAGATTCATTCACTAAACAGAATTGGTTGGGAAGTGGTAGAAAACCAGTTGGATGGAGGCAGGACTGCTCCACTTCTGTATCAGAAAGTCCTGCTTTGGAGAGCTGCTGGCCAATCGGAGACTGACAGCTCTCCAGGACTGACCACCATTATTTACTGACTCCAGTATTGACCACTATGGGGAAACAATGGTGTTATCACTCAACTATTAATCCAGAAACTCAGCTAATATTCTGGGGACCAGGGTTTAAATCCCACCAAGGTAGATGGAGGAATTTGAATTCAATAAAATAAAATCTGGATTGAAGAATCTACTGATGACTGAGAAATCCATTGTCGATTGTTTGAAAACCCCATTTGGCTCACTGTTGTCCATCAGGGAAGGAAATCTGTCGTCCTCACCTAGTCTGGCTCACATGTGACCCCAGTCCTACAGCAATGTGGTTGACTCTCAACTACCCTCTGAAATGGCTTAGGAAGTCACTCAGTTGTATCAATTGCAACAAACTCTCAACAAAGAAATAAAACTGGATCGACCACCTGGCATCAACCTAGGCACCAGAATAGACAATGGCAAAAATAGCCCTTCGACCCTGCAAAGTCCACTTTACTAACATCTGGGGGCTAGTGCCAAAATTGGAAGAGCTTTCTTTACTCTTTCATGGGATGAGGGCGTCGCTGACTGGGCAGCATTTATTGCCCATCCCTGCAATTCAGAGTCAACCACATTGCTGTGGGTCTGGAGTCACATGTAGGCCAGACCAGGTAAGGATGGCAGTTTCCTTCCCTAAAGGACATTAGTGATCCAGATAGGTTTTTCCTGACAATCAACAATGGATTCATAGTCATCATTAGACTATGAATTCCAGATTTTTTAAATTGAATTCAAATTCTGCCATCTGCCGTGGCGGGATTCGAACTTGGGTCCCCAGAATGGTATCTGGGTCTCTGGATTAACAGTCCAGCGATAATACCACTAGGCCATTGCCTCCCTCACTGTGCTGTCTCACAGACTAGTCAAACAACAGCTTGACATAGTCATGCTCACGGAATCATACCTTACAATATCCCAGCCGCCACCGTCACCGTCCCTCGATATGTCCTGCCAGTAGGACAGACCCAGTAGAGGAGGAAGCACAGTGGTTTACAGTGGGGAGGGAGTTACCCTGGGAGTCTTCAATATTGACTCCAGACCCCATGAAGTCTCATGGCTTCAGGTTAAACATGAGCAAGGAAACTCCCACTGATCACCACATACCATTCTCTCTCAGTTGATGAATCAGTATTTCTCCATGTTGATGATGGCAAGGGTGCAAAATGTACTCTGGGTGGGGAATGTCAATGCCCACCACCAAGAGCTCAGCAGCAGCATTACTGATTCAGCGGGTTGGCTCACGAAGGACATAGCTGCTAGATTGAGTCTGTGGCAGGTGATAAGGAAACCAACAAGAGGGAAAATCATACTTGACCTCATCCTTATCAAGCTGCTAGCTTCAGATACATCAGTCTATGACTGTATCGTTAAGAGTGACCGCTGCACAATTCTTGTGGGAATGAAGCCCTGCCTTCATACTGAGAATATCCTCTGTCATGTTGTGTAGCATTATCAACGTGCTAAATGGGACAGACTTTAAACAGATCTAGCAGTTCAATGTAGGAGCAAATTACTGCAGATGCTGGAATCTGTACTGAAAATAAAAATGCTGGAAATCACAGCAGGACAGGCAGCATCCATGGAGAGAGAGCACCCTAACGTTTTGAGTCGAAATGACTCTTCATTAGAGCTCTGATGAAAAGTCATCTAGACTTGAAATGTTAGCTTGCTCTCTCCCCATGGATGCTGTCTGACCCACTGTGATTTCCAGCATTTTTTGTTTTCAGTCTAGCAACTCAAGACTGGGCACCCATGAGGCGTTGTGGACCATTAACAGCTGCAGAATAGTGCTGCATTACAAACTGGCCCACCATATCCCCTACTCAACCATTACCATCAAGCCAGGGGATCAACCCTGTTTCAATGAAGAGTGCAGGAGGTCATGCCAGAAGCGGCACTAGGCATACCTAAACACGAGGTGTGAACATGGTGAAGCTACCAAAGGATTACTTGCATGCCAGAAGTGATAGACAGAGCTAAGCGATCCCACAACCAATGGTTCAGATCTAAGCCCTGCAGTCCTGAATGTCGTGAATGGTGGTGGACAACGAAACAACCGACTAGAGGAGGAGGCGGCTTCACAAATATATCCATCCTCAATGATGGAAGAGACTATCACATCAGTGCAAACGATAGGGTTGAAACTTCAGCCAGAAGTGCTAAATGGATGATGGATCTCAGCCTCCTACAGTGATCCCCAGCATCATGAATACCAGTTTTCAGCCAATTTGATTCAGTCCATGTGATATCAAGAAACTGTTGGAGGCACTGGATTCTACAAAGGCTGTGGTCCCTGACAACATTCTGGCATTGGTACTGAAGACTTGTGGTCCAGAATTTGCTGCTTCCCAAGCCAACTTCATCCAATACAGTTATAACACTGGCATCTCAAGGCTGAAGGTTGACAAACTAGAGATGGTTAAAATTATGGAAGTTTCATGCCGAGTAGACACGAGGAGTTTTTCCACACATTGAGAAGAGCAAAACCAGAGGCTGCCAATTTAAGATAGCCACCAAGAAATAAATATGGAATTTAGAAAAATCATTACGCTGAGAGTGGTGCAAATGTGGAACTGGCTACCACAGAGAGTTGTTCAGGCAATAGTTTTTCTTTCTGGTGGCACTTGGGTTCATGGAGTTAAGGTAACAGAGCATGGTATTTCTATTTGGCCTTGTCTTCACCAAGTACTTTGCCTCGGATTGTAACACATCTTGGCTTGACTTCTCAGATTATTGGAGGTACGTGTTATAATGCAAAAAGTGGTCACTAAGTTAATAGGATGTGTTTTAATATAGTTTGTACATCATCCTTGAACTTGTTGTTATTCATTAACAAATCATTTACAGGTCTTTCAAAAATCACTGGAATTATTTTCTTCTTTTAATTGTCGGCTGTGTTTACCCATGCAGGGGAGGAAACGTAGTACTGCTGAGATTTCTCCTGGGCTTAAAAACAGCCACAGAAGATGAGCTGGTGGCTGATCTGATGGTGAACATCTTCAAAGTGTGCCCTGATTTATTAAGCAGATTCTTCCAAGAAACACAGTATTCCTTTGTCCCTAGACTTAAGACGGCCTGGCTAGATAACATCAAACTACTCCGAAAGGTAAGGTACAACTAACTTGCGCAATGCTTTCATACTTAGTTTGTATTGTAACGTATTGGAAGATTAAACATCTAATTGCTTAGACTGTCTTAAAATGTTTGTTATCGTAATCATCCAGTTTCTTAGATTATATTACTTATAAGTATGGCTTTTAAGTTATAGGTTAAAGTGTTAAATATACTATTGTTAAATATACAAAGGAAATGTCTGTTCAAGAAACTGATAAACAACCTGAATGTAAAAGCAAATCAAACAGTCCTAGATTTCATTAATGTCTAAAATATATCGAAGATCTGCGGATGCTGGAGATTCTGAAACAAACAAAACGGAACATGCCGGAGAAATTCAGTGGATCTGATAACATTTGTGTAAGGAAAATAGAGTTAACATTTCAAGTTCAGAGACCCTGCTTCAGAACTGAAGGCAGATAGAAGAAGGTAGTATTTATGCTGATTTTAGGGCAGCACGGTGGCTCAGTGGTTAGCACTGCTGCCTCACAGCACCAGGGACCCGGGTTCAATTCCACCCTCGGGCGACTGTCTGTGTGGAGTTTGCACATTCTCCCCGTGTCTGCGTGGGTTTCCTCCGGGTACTCCAGTTTCCTTCCACAGTCCAAAGATGTGCGGGTTAGGTGGATTGGCCATGCTAAATTGCCCGTAGTGTTCAGGGGTCTGTAGATTAGGTGGGTTATGAGGGATGGGTCAGCGTGGACTTGTTGGGCCGAAGGGCCTGTTTTCCACACTGTAGGGATTCTATGAATTCTATGATATAGAGGTGTGGGGTGGGAGGTAATAGAAGGGAGCAGATATCTGGAGACGGAGACCAGAGAGAGAGAGAGAAAAATGGGGTAGGTAGACAAAGGGATTGTTGGCAGTAAGCCGGGGAAGAAGAAAAGCTAGATAGGTGACAGTGGAGAGTATGAGTCATGGAAAATGGGTTGCTATGCTGAAAGCAACTCATTTCATGACAGGACCTGGAGTTGTGGAGGTGGATAATAGACATAGTAGGAGGTGTTCATGCTTTGAAATTGTTAAGCTCAGTGTTGAGTTCTGAAGGCTGTAAGGCACCTAATTGGAGGATGAGGTGTTGTTCCTCCAACTTCTGTTGAGTTTTACTAGAGCACTGTCGCAGGCCTGAGACAGAAATGTTGGTGTGGGTCACAGTAGTGTATTGAAGTGGCAGGCAGTGGGAAGCTCGGATCATTTTTACAGAGAAAATATGGGTGTTCTGCAAAGCAGTCGTTCAGTCTGCATTCAGTTTTCCCAGTATAGAGACTGCTTTGTGAGCAGAAAATACAGTAGACTAGATTCAACGAAGTGCAGGTAAATTGTTGCATCACCTGGAAGGTGTGCTTTGGGTGTTGGATGCAGAGGAGTCAAATTCGCAAGTGTTGCACCTTCAGTGTTGCGTGAGGAGGTATGGTGGGGGTGTGAGGAGGTGTTGGGAATGGTGGAGGAGTGGACCAGGAGTCCCAGAGGGAACTGTCTAAGAAATGCTGACAAATGAGGGGAGGGATACGTGTCTGGTGGTGGCATCCCAATGGAGGTGACAGAAATGGCAGTTTATGATCTTTTTGATGCGGAGACTGGTGGTGTGGAAAGTGCATTCATCCAGGCAAGTGGAGAGTATTCCATCATACTCCTGACTTGTGCTTGTAGATGGTGGACAGGCCTTGGAGAGTCAGGAGATAAGTTACTCGCTGCAGGATTCCTAGCCTCTGATCTACTCGGCTAACCACTGTTTATATGACTAGTCCAGTTCAGTTTCTCATCAGTGTTAAGCCCCAAGATGTTAATAGTAGGAGATTCAGTGAAGGTAACACCATTGAATGTCAAAGGACGATTGTTAGATTGGTCACCTTGAATGAGAGATATTGTCTGACATCTGTGTGGCACAAATGCTTTCTGCCACTTTTCACCCTTACCCTGGATATTGTCCAGGTATTGCTGCATTTGGACTTGGACTGTTTCAGTGTCCAAGGAGTTGCTCAATGTGCTGAACATTTTTCAATCTTTGAACATCCCCACTTCTGGCCTTAAAATGGAGGGAGCGTCATTGATAATGCATCAGAAGGTGGTTAGGTCTAGGACACTACCCTGAGGATCCCTTGCAGAGATGCCCTGAAGATGAGATGGCTGACCTCCCATAACAATCATCATTCTTTGTGCCAGGTGTGGCTCCAACCAATGAAGAATTTCCCTCTGTTTCCCATCATTCTAGTTTGGCTAGGGCTGCTTGATGCTGTACTCATTCAAATGTCGCCTTGATGTCAAGGGCAGTTAGTCGTATCTCACTTCTGGAATTCAGTATTTTTGTCCATGTTTGAGCCATGGCTGTAATGAGGTCAGGAGCTGAATGGCCCTGACTTACTGCATAAGTGAGCAGATTATTGCTGTGCAGGTACTGCTTGATAGCACTGTTGATGACACATTCTGTCACTTTACTGATGTGAATATTGCACAATTATTGGCTCCTTGATGACTTTCTGACTTCACAACTGCTGCACAGCAAGACTTCCCCTTGACTTGCTACCTGACTTAAACTGCAAGCTGAAAAGGAAAAGACTTGCACAGAGGTTGCTAGATTTTTGTGGGCAGCTCTCTTCAAGATCAGTAGCAAGGATCCATATTTTGATTTTCCTTTTGAAATTGAGGCCAGTATTTAGTGTATCCTAGAGTTTAAACAAAGAGAAAATCTCAGTATTCAAATAATGGTGCCCACTGCTGTGCAATATTGTTTTCAGAAACGCAAATTAGTAACATGTGTGCATGAGTGAAATCTTTTTAACATGGTGCATCAAAGTCAAAAAATAATCTCAGTGCCCATAAATAGTCTCAGCCCAGGACAAAATTGGACTACTATGCATAAAAGATGAATAGTGCTCTGTGCAGAGCAAACTGTCTCCACCTTAGAGCTTTTCAAAGTTAAAATCGTTGTGCCCTTAACTGCAAGGGTGATTTTAATTGGGCCCTTCCAATCTTTTGCAATAACTGGTGTGTGGTTGAATGAGAACTTTAGTGTTGCCGTGTAGCCACACTGCCCACAGCAAACATTTGCTAAAACAGCAGATTTTCTTTAAGACAGCAAACTTCAAATGAGCAAATTCACAGATCTGCTGTTTGAAATGTGCCGTTTTGTCATCGTAGGTTTTGGCAACAAATGGGGAAAGTAGTTTGTTGACAAGCAAACTTGTGATATTTATGGTCATTTTTAATATCTTTAATATCTAACATTGTAGTATTTATTTAAAACTAAACTGGTAATGTATCCTATTAATAAATTATATGCCCAACAAAAAACTCGATCATGGATAATCTTCATATTGTCCTTTTATACTTTCAACCTCTATTTTAGATTTACGAGGCTCAACCAGAGATTTCCAATGCCTTCAAGACGAAGGAGTTCATCCCAATTCCCCGCCTCCTCCCTATGGTGATGATTACAACAGTACCTCCAGTGGCTACTAAGGCTATGTTTACTCAGGGACTCAATGTAAGGGAAACCACTATTTAATATTTATTTGTTTCTTTAAATGAAAAAAATCAGAATATGAACAAAATATATGTAGAAAGACAAATTATTGCAAACCCTCTATATCAAGTATGGGGAGGTGATGGCCCAGTGATATTATCATTGGACTGGTAATCCAGAGACCCAGATAATATTTTAGAGTTCCAGGTTCAAATCCCGCCATGGCAGATGGTGGAATTTGAATTCAATGAATATCTTGAATTAAGAATCTAATGATAACCGTGAATCCATTGTCGATTGTCAGGAAAAGCCCGTCTGGTTCACTAATATCCTTACCTGGTCTGGCTGACGTGTGACTCCAGTCCTACAGCAATATGGTTGATTCTTAACTGTCCTCTAAGTATTTGGGTTAGGCAATAAATGCTGCCTAGCCAGTGACGCCCTCATCCCATCAATGAATAAAGAAAAGCAGTTTTACTGCTTACCCACGAAGCTGGATTCCTTTATAACATAATGAAAGAGCCAGGTAAATTCAACATCAGGTGTAATAAAGGACAGGACTGGAATGCGTTTGGCCAGTCTTATAAACAAATGGCTCATCAATCGCACACATTCTCATAAAAGCATGGAAAGGTACAGGACAGATTGTAAAACTTAGCCTGTTATAACTGGATTTATAATCATGAGGACTAGAAAGATAGACAAGGATGTGCCACTGCACATATATAAGGAGTGGATTGGAATTGGCTGCATGCATCAATATGTCAAATACTTATGTAAACCTGACTGAAGTTGTTTGTGGCCATTGTAGAAATTGTTATTCATTGTTAGAGTATTTAATAACTTGCAAAGTTTTCAAACTAAACTTAACAAAATAATTTTACTAGTCAGTGAGCACTGGAAGTGGGCCCAGATTTTGCTGCTGTTTACACAAAATAAGTGATTTGCTTGGAGGGATTTGAGCTAATTCTCTTGGCACAAACCGAAGGGATGAATGGGTCCAATGTGCCATAGGTGTCTTTCTGTACTGTATTGTAACGCTTTTCATGTCTGAGACTTCGATGTAATCTGCTTTTACTCAGCACAAGCCTGTCTATTGTGGGAGTTTTATTTTTGTGAGGAATGCAGAAGGAAAGGAAAAAGGAGGGACTCTTGGCCACTGGCCTGTGGAACTTCAGACTGTTAGGCTTGCTTTCCCTCTTTGTCATTTTCTGCACTTATTTCCTTTATTTTAATCAATGCTGCCAACTGTTTTCTTATTGACATCATAACACCATACAAATGAAAGCAAATTTAATCAATTCTCTCGTTATTTTCAGTTTACAAACAAAGTAGTCCAACATACTACCTTCTCCTTGCTTGCATATGTTCTGAAGAGGGCTCTCAACAACATTGAGTACTGCCTGAATGTGGAAGTGTGGGAAAACTCTGATATTTACACTCCTGGTGCAATGGAGGATTTTGCACAACAGTTCAAAGAGAATCTCAGCAAGGTACTTAGCACTGCAGCCACATCATGACATTTACGTTTCACAAACTGCATTTGGCGGGCTTGGAGTTTGGTTATGACTTGAACTTATGTGGTATCTTTTGAAGTAGACAACCCTTAATGTTATTTACAAAAGTAAAAGGAAAGGATGAAATAGAAGCAGCAAAGAAACAGATACTGTTATGACACAGATACCAAGCCAGACCAAATCAGAGTGGCTAACACTGGATATTGCAACATAGTGAAATTAAAACATGCAATGTTCCTCAAAGTTACCTAATTGTTCCTAACTAGATTTTATGAATAACCAATATCAGACATCAAGTTTATAGCTTAAACAGAATATACTGATTTATTATTAATACTGTAACTTTAACAAAAGGAAGTTGAACAACAAGATAAAATAAAAATTATTGGAGAAACTCAGCAGGTCTTACAGCATTTATGGAGAAAATTGGGTTCAGTGATCGTTCTTCAGAACTGTTCTCGAGACTCTCCTTCCACAATCATTAGAGGAAGTGAGTTCCAAAGACTCGGTCCTCCCCTCATCTGCCTTAAATAGGCAGTCCCCTATTTTTAAACTGTGACCCCTAGTTCTAGAATCTTACACAAGATGAATCATCCTGTCCAGCCCCTGCAGTCTCTCGAAATCGAGGTTGACATCTGTCCAGCTAGGTGAGTGTTCTGATGACTAAGGAGCCCAATTTGGGATTCACAAGTAAAATCATCCTTTCCACATGCACGCTTTCAAGAACCCTCAGGATCAAGAAGTCTCTTCCTTTTCCAAACTGCAGTGGATAGAAGCCCAGCCTATCCAACCTTTCCTCATATGACAAACTGTTCATTCCAGTTGTTAGTCTGGCAAACTTTCTCTGACTGCTTCCAATGCGATTACAATTTAAATCAGGAGGTCAATCCTCCTAATCTCGGACTCATTCTTCTCTTTCTGAAAGTGAATGTAAAATTCAGTCATTATGATTGCTGCTCCCAAGGTTTAATTACTTCTGCATAAAAGCAGGCCCAGTACAATTTAGCCTGCTCTTTGCCTTCAGAGAATCCATTTTGGAAACACTCTGTTGTGTAGGCTACCTTCTCCAAATCTGAATTTTCCAATCTATTGCAGATTAAAAATTGAAATATATTCACATCGATTTGCAGTTTTACAGATTGCCTCTAGAAGCACTGATCTAATCATTCTAATCCTTTAGAATGAATATTATCACAATATTATGATAGATTCATAGTGATTACCGTCAGTAAAGTCAATTTTTTAATTTACTCATTGCTAAGTTTCTATAAAATTCAGATTTGCAAAACATATACAGACTTAACTTTAGAAATATGGAACTCTCATGGAATTCCTATACTGTTCTGTGCCCTTTTTCTTCTGATACAGCATTTACCAGACATGAATAGCATTGTGGCTACATGGCAATCTTTGTTAAAGAACAAAGAAAAGGAAGAGGATGGAAAAGAAAAGCAGGGAGATGAGAAAAACACAAAACGCACCAGTGCAGCAAAGCAAGCAAATGAGATTTCAGTTCTTACAGAACACCACGGTAACTTTTTTTTTCTCAGAATAGGAAGTTATAGGAAATTGTGTGGTTTAAATTTTGAAAAATCAATGGGCCAGAATTTACTGTCAAAATAGTGTTTTGTGAATAATGAACATTTTTATTAAAGTGCAAGTACGCAAACAACTTGCAGCAAGAAACAAATACCCCATAACTGAGTCACTCGGAAGTTGCAGGATAATTTGCACCACTCCGCTATTAACTTTAAGAAAGCCATGACATTCTTTGCTTAGTCTCCCCATGGTTTTCATAGAGTTGCTTTATGCATTAACTGAACATTAAACTTAGCACATGGGATTAAATCTAATAATAATAATTTATAATCTTTTTCATGACATGGTAATTGATAATGATGGTCAACCAATCTCATTTCTGCAGGTAGCAAAGTGAAAAACGTGGAGTCTCCTTCCTTCAGTGAATTGTTGGTAATTTGAAGTGTGTCAAATTTTAAGATTTAAAACCATTTTAATTTCTCTCTCTGTCTCTCAACTCAGTCTTACTGACTCAATATTCCTTTTTCTTTATCTGATATAGTATTGTCACCAATTCATAATCCAAGTTTACATGTTTGTCTCGATCTTTAAAACTCAATGAGATGGTAAGACTAAATTGAGAGAGAGAGTGAAATTAAAATGGTTTTAATTTTTAAAATCTCACTACAATTCACTGAAGGAGGGAGACTCCATATCAAATACTTTTGATAATAATAAATGCTTCGTCTGTGCATTTAATAAAATACATTCTGGTAAGCCCAGCTTCACATTTCAAGTCTTTTCCTTTAGGTGAAGATGATGCTGAGACCACAGTTCTGAAGGCAGTTGTGCTCCAGGTTATGTGTCTTTACCAGAAAGTGGTCCCTCATATGGTTTCACAGTGTGCATTTGATTTCAGTAAATTGCTTAAAGGTATGTAAATATTATTATAATATTGTGCAAAGCTGCATAGTTAATAGAAGCATGCTGTTTGCCAACAACCGGTTTGAAAAGTAGAACTGGGGGGATTCAAATTAAATGCATTAACTTACTGTAAGTTGCTTTGTTCCCGTTCATGTGTAGTTATCTATGTGGTAGGACATGACTAGTTTTATATGAATATCTGGTACCTTATTTTTATATATATTCATTCCCTGCATGTGGGCTTCACTAGCAAGACCAAATTTGTTGTTAAAACTGAATTGTTCTCAGGAAGATGGTGTGACCCACTTTGAACAGCTGTACAATGTGATTAAGTTACTTCAGCATTGCCATTAAGGAGAAAATGCCAGGATTTTGGTCTAGAGCTACAGTAGAGGAAAGGCAGTATATTTCTTCTGAGTAAAGGGTAAATGTAGCATATGGCATGTGCCAAAGAAGCAAAATCATCGTTACATCAGATCACATGGAACTGGATCTGTAGGGATCAAGGTTAGATGTCCTGTCTTACCATTTTTTGTGTGGGTCTGTGTTCAACAAAGCATGCTTCTGTTCACTCACAAGTGTGAAAATTTCACATTATGACATATTGGCAATGGTGATCGCACTCATAGAAACAGATGAGCAGTAAGACCCTGAAGTGAAGACTAGTGATGGTAAGCATGATCAAGTGTGTCACCTGCAGAGACCTATTATTTGGCCTGCTGACACTCCACTCACACCATTTGTATGATCTTTTGATCTCTCTGTTTGTAAAGTCTGTGTCTGGGTGCTCTCTTCACTTCACCTGATGAAGGGCAGCACTCCAAAAGCTTGTGATTTCAAATAAACCTGTTGGACTATAATCTGATGTCATGTGACTTTTGACATTGTCTGCCCCAGTCCAACACCAGCACCTCCACATCATGGTAAACATGAGGTCAGCCCAGTGAACCAAAACTAGAGGTGGGGAATATACTGGGACTGAACTCGGTGTGTTGGGGCAGGCTAATGACAGACTTAGAGACATGCCTAGATGCTGAGCAGTGGACATAAAAGCCTGCACAAAAGCTGAAGAAAGTGCAGGAGAAAGCCTGTGGCAGTGTTTGCTATTAACAACAAGAAAAAGTCAATTGGGCACAATAGGTAAAGTACGAGTAGTTCTGCTATTACGTGTGTTTTGTCAATGTGAATTGGCTATAACGCAATTGACAAATTAGTGATCGTTGTTTGGATAACATGAGCTTTCTGCTGTACTGGTATAGTGATTTTCTATAGGGATCTCCTATAGCATGATTTTCTATAGTGTAATTCTCTACGCTCCAGTCACACAGGAACGCAACTATCACATTGTACCAGAACTACCTGTATAACAGAAACAAAATACTTAAGTACTTACAAAGCTGGGAAGGAAGAAACAAACACTCAGAAAATACATCGACGACAAAAACACCATACAATTTCATTTTTGTATTTTTCATTGTACACTAAAATGGGGAGCAAACTATTTTAAAACTAAGGACTGTGAAAGGAATTGCTGCACGCTTTCAAAACGAGTTGTTGAAACTGCTGCTTTGTTGAACCAGGATGTATGCAGAGTGAGATTTGACCGACCACAATTAGCTGATTGGTTTATGCAATTGTGACCAGTCATGGATGCCAAAGGTCATCAGCCTGATGACAACTGTCTGTTTCATTCATGGGCAGTTAAATAGCTTGAGGTTGTGAATCATACAAGGGGAAGTCTTTGCTCTGCTAGAAGAGCAGATTCTTCTGTGTCTTTCTCTCTCAAATAAAAATGCCTGAAGAAAACCAGTTTTACTCCCACCAGTTGCTCTGAGCTGATGCCAGATTTAACTAGTAAATAAGCAACTTTGTAGTTAGTGTACCAGTTGCTTTGTGTCTCCTGCAAAGAAGTCAATGAACTAGGAAAAGAAAGATTAAAGAACAAAAAAAGTTCCTACTATCTCTTAAAGAGCAAAAAACCCTGGCTAGCTCAGAGTAACATCTCAATGAACTTTGAACTGTGTTTCCTAACTTTCTTTCTCTCCACCCACAAACAATTTGTTTTTGTCTGTGTCAGTATTTAGGACTTCTAACTGATATTTTAACTGATTAATCATGACTTTTTAATTGCGATTAGAATTTACTTGATTGTAATAAATAGTTCTTGTTAAGTACAGGAACCTGCTCAGTGTTTCCTGTTAACTTGATTTAATCAAACATTTACTTTTAGGGACTTTGCATTCTTTGATTTGTGGTGACCCTGTAAGTTGAGAATTAGAGCATTTTCCCAAGTGGGTTCTAACACCAAAAAAAGAAATGATTCAAATCAAATAGAAACTCCACCTCCGGGAACGGGAGAGTCACGAGAGCAAAGATATAGACTGTGGTTAAGCTGCAACAGTAATGCATAAGGAAGTTTCAGTTAGCTGAAGAAGTTTCTTCCAGAGTGGATTCCTGGATCACTGCTAGGAAGCAAGATCTAACCTTGTGCTCCCAAGGAAACGATGAGCGCGTACATACAACATGCCTTGTGTGAGAACTGAGAATGTTGCAGATTAGACCCTCAAGCACAAAAGACCTGTTTTGGGGGTGGTGGAGGGAGTGGAGTAAAGACCTGTGTATTCATGATTAAATATTAATGGTGAAAAGAGGTATGATAAAAGAATTGGGATAAGATATAGATCAAAGAGAATTGCTCCTTAAAGTATAGCTACTGACCATAATGTGTGAGAGGAGCTAGGTCATTATGACAAGATCACATGGAACTGGAGTCTGAGCCTGTAGGGCTCCAAGTAAAATTTCCTGTCTTACTATGCTCACAACGTACTTTACATTAAATAAAACCTGTTGTTGTTCACTCCTAAGTGTGTGGATCGCAATCTGCAAAGGGAACCTTTGGGAGTTCTCATGCACTTGCTGCTCTTGTTTTTCTAGGTGGTAGAACTTATGGGTTTAGGAGATGCTGTTTAGGATGCTTTGGCCAGTTGCTTCAGTGTATCTGGCATATGATACACCCTGAAGGAAGAGTGTACCAGCAGTGAAGCAATTGAATGCATAAGATGGTGGATGCTTTACTCAAAGATGCATTGAACATTTTAAAAACAAAGTACTGATTACATGCAGGGTGTTGTTTATATCCAGGTATTTGACAAATGTATATACTCCTAGGAGTAAGGCAGCCTGTTTTACAATTAACTGAATTGTCTCTGTTGATTATTGAAGCCTAATGGCGGATTACAGATGTTGGAGAGCCTCGCTTATTGGGATCATGTATCAGGAAATCAATAGCACTCCTAAGATTTTCCATTTTTAGTTGAAGAACATTGATTACTTTTAGGCACAGGTACTAGCTGTTGATTTGTATAGTCAAAATGGGTTTAATGAATATTTTCTAGCCAGTTTAGCGATACACTACTGAGCTACATAATTTGAAGGTTGATTAAAGTAGAGAGCTGCAAATTAAGACAAGAAGTGAAGACAAAAATTGATGGAGGCTGTTTACTACATTAGACTTCACCAGTGCCCCTCACATATAGGATATGGGTTGGAATCCGGCTCGGATTAATAAATGAAACGCCCCTTTTTTCTGCAATAATCCAAACTGAAATTGGTTTGGGATGTCTCGTTTCAATTACAGGTGGCTCTTTTTACAAAGCGCTGATCTATTTCCAACTTGGCACCAATTAACCTTCATTTAGAGACGGAAACCGTAAAGAAGTCAGTGTTATTTCATGCTATCACTGAGTAGATGAATTGTTCCATTCTGCAACAACAGCATGACTTAATAAATGATCCCAACAAGGCCTCACAGATGAATCTAATGTATGATGTCTGTATATTATTTCCTTTATTCATATCCAGTGAGCAAATTAGAGAGAGTGCAGAAAAAGTCGCCAGGATATTGTCTGGGTGGGAGTGATTCAGCAGTGCTTAAAAGGGTGGTAGACAATGGATCCTTCAAGATATTCAAGAACTATTTAGATGAAAACCTGAAATGCCATTGCATTTAAGTCTATGGGCTAGATGCTGGAAAGTGAGATTAGAATAGATGGATGTTTGAAGACTGATGTGGACATGATGGGCCAAAGAGCCTCTTTCTCTGCTGTAAGAATTCTATGAATAATCTTGAGCTGAAGAAAACTTGTGACAGTTACAAACGGCTTATTTCTTGAAGCAGCGCCTTCCAATGCCTATCTATAAGTGGTCAGAGTATGGAACTTACCACAGAAGAAGTAGGTAATGAGAATGACTTAGATGCATCTAAGAGAAAACTAGGTAAACACATGAGGGAATGCGAAAAGAAAGATGCCAGAGTTTTATGGATAGAATTGGCAGAAACTTGTGTGGAGCATAGGCATTGGATAATATCTTTGGGCTGATGGCCTGTTTTTATGCTGATATTGGGTGTGAGAAAGATGTTGAGTTTTATTGTGATGAAATCTTTAACTGCTTTTTCCAGGCATTGTGACTGAGAAAGGGGTCAGACAGGAAGTTGCTCCTGTTCTACAGCACCACATACTTCAGCTTGCCCTGGAGCTGCCTGCCAACAAGTTTGCTTGGTTCAGAATTCAGGTACCATTATATAAGGCAAACAAGTGTTTTATTTCAAAAACAAAAGAACTGCGGATACTGTAAATCAGAACCAAAAACAGAAGTTGCTGGAAAAGCTCAGCAGGTCTGGCAGCATCTGTGAAGAGAAATTGGAGTTAATGTTTCGGGTCCAGTGACCCTTCCTCGGAACCTTTTGGTTTTTAAGTAATGTTGGTACTATTTGCTTGATGTTTGTTATAGTTAGCTGGTGCCTGGTGTGTGTTCATGTTATATCATAGTTAGAAAAATAGTCACTGGTAAATTGGTGATATACCATATCTACTTCTATAAGTATGGGGTGGCTCCGTGGTTAAATCTGCTGCCTCTTAGTACCAGGAACCCGGGTTCGATTCCAGCCTTGGGCAACTATCTGTGTGGAGTTTGCACATTCTCCTTGTGTCTGCATGGGTTTCCTCCATCAGGTCCAGTTTCCTCCTCTAGTCAGAAGATGTGCAGTTTAGCTGGATTGGCCATGCTAAATTGCCCATAGTGTCCGAGGTTGTGCAGACTAGGGTGGGTTAGCCATGGGAAATGCAGAGTCACAGAGATAGGTTTGGGTCTGGGTGGGTTGCTCTTCAGAGGGTTGGTGTGGACTTGATGGGCTGAATGGCCTGGTTCCACACTGTAGGAACTCAGTGATAATATAAGAGGCAACCCGGGATTTTAGTTGGAAAAATGTAATTTTTCATTTATCTCATGCAAAGGTCTGAGGAAGGGCCACCAGACCTGAAACTTTAATTCTGATTTCTCTTCACAGATGCTGCCAGACTCGCTGAGCTTTTCCAGCAACTTCTGTTTTTGTTTGTGTTTTATTTAGGTTGGAATTGCATTTTAGGTGTAAAGGTGCAATATTTCCTTTTCAAATAACTCTCTTCAAACTTGGCTTAATCCAAATAATTCAGTGTTAATTGGCTCAGTAACATGCACACTTTTAAATTCAAAGCTCGGGAATTTAGTCCAACTCTAGAGACACAAGCACTGAATCTAGGCTAACACATCAGTACAGAACTGAGGAGGTGCTGTGTTGTCAGAGGATCTGTCTTTCAATGAGGTATTAAACCATATTCAAGTGTTCTTTAAAAGTGATGAGGGTTTCTGTCTCCAACACCTCTCAGATATGAATTCCAGATCCCATCACCTTGCCTGAAAAAGTTCTCCTGAAACACCCTGTGCCATCCTTCTGCCAATTCATTTAAATAATGCTCTTAATTATTAATCTTCGAATCAAGGGCCTTCATAGTTTTATACTCTTCACTTAAATTTTCCCTCAGCCTTATAGCTTCAAAGATAACTGGCTCAAACTGCCCAGCTTTCTTCGTACCTAAAATTCTCCATTCCTAGCATCCTCCCCATAAATTTACATATAATCACAAGGATCATAATCATAATAGAGGCTACCAAAGTTAACTTTTCACAGCATTCTGTTAATAATTCTTTAAAATGTAATACATGTAGAACATGCAAAAGTCCGCATTTTGTCTGATCATAATGCTGAATCTAATCACTACTGAGATTTATGGTTTTAATGTGAAGATACCGTCTGATGCAACAACTGATTTATTCCATGTATTTTTTTGTAGGATATCACAAGTACAGAGAAAAGTGGTGGAGAAAAATCAGTATTTTATTTGTTGATTAAAATGTATGTGACTAGTAAGAGTTCTCAACTGCAAATGTCGACCAAGCATCTTATTATAAAGGTGAGTTGAGATTTTAATTGACATTATTCCCATTATTTAATTCCCATTATTTGACAATACATACAAGCCGTTAGCTTTCAAATAATATTGTAAATTTAATTTGAATGAGTCAAGAAAATCTTCTTGCTATTAATATATTCCCCAAAGTAATTTAAGTCCTGCTTACTGTGAATATTAGGTGCCAGTTTAATGACCAACATCAGAAATGATTTCTGAAGAAGGGTCTAGGCCCAAAACGTCAGCTTTCCTGCTCCTCTGATGCTGCTTGGCCTGCTGTGTTCATCCAGCTCTACACCTTGTTATATCAGAAATGTACTGTTTGTCTCTTTTCCACATTTTCGAATAATTCAAGACAATATATTGACCAGTCAGCTTGACAGTTGATTCATAATTTGAACTAATGCAGGTTGTAGGAAATATGTTGGCTGAAAGGTAAATGTTACTTTCTGAACAAACAATTGATGAAGGGTAATGCTGGATTCAGTTTACACTAAGTTTTGCATTTAATTACAAAATTAAGCATTACTGGCGTATAACACCAACTCTGCTCAACTACTTTCAATAGATGTCTCTTTATACACTTTACAAAGCAATTTAAACTAAATTATCCAAATTAAGTTATGCTGCCCAAACTGTATAGCAACAGTCCCTTACAGGGGCAAGTATATCTTTATATGTACTCGGGTTAAACCTCAGTCAATGCCTGTTACCTACATACAATTAAACACAGTTAATGTATAGTTAGTAGTAAGATTTTATGGACATATCAGGTTCTTTTGTTAGCCTTGAATTAACAGCTTTACATATGTGCCGTGAATATTGCCACTTTGCATAAAAAATCTGGTTTTAAACATAGAACAGCTGGTCGACATACACATCTATCTTACAAATGACTGTTCTAAATCACAATTCATTTTTTATTTACAGCTAAATTAAATTACCATACTAGCTATGGATTAGCATGGTGGAACGGCCTATATTTGGCACCTTGTCCAGGGATGACTTTTTGAGAGAGTAGAGAGAATAAAATGACTCTGATTAAAGCACACAATACCTCTTTAAAATATTTGATAAAGGAATTGCATGTGGATTGTTAAATGATGATGTGCAAATATTGCATGGTAAATTCTATCCATTTAAATATCTCACTAAAGTTAAATAGGATATTTTTAAACTGAATTTGACAGGGTACTGTGACCACTGCCAAGGGCACTCGCACAGGATCACTGACCCACAACAATTTAACATGATAACAACATTTATCACTTCAAAGTGTGTTCTGTACCCCTTTCATCAGAGGAAGTCCCACTTTAGTGAGAAAATTGAATGGTTGATAGCTCTGTGGTCCCAGAGCACCTCCAAGATGGGTAACTGCTGCTGGAATTGCAACCATGTGGCCACTATTGATTATCATGAAAGCCTATTTGTTTACTGTATCCTTTAGGGAAGGAAATCTGTCATCCTTACCTGGTCTGGCCTACATGTGACTTCAGATTCGCAGCAATGTGGTCGACTCTGGGCAATCATAGATGGGCAATAAATGCTGGCCCAGCGAGTGATGGCCACATTCTATGAATTAATTTTAAAAAAAAAGAGGCTGGCAAGGGGTAAAAGTGGGGAATGACCTTAGTGGCGAGGTGTATGTGACAGTCCCTTGCACCACCACTCTGGTTGACTAATAACAGATTCTCCAGCTAAAGCTGCTGAGCTTCTTGCTTAGTGGACTCTGTCTCCACCATGGGTAAAATACTGGTGATGGTGGAATGAGACCCTTAAGAGATACCTGACACCTCCACAGCCCTTCTTAAAACTTCACAGAAGTTTTGAGCATATGAGGATGCAGCAGGAAAGCCAACCACTGGATTAACCATGGCAACCTTCTCAGGTCTGCTGGCAGGGGAACATTAAAATCCAATCCATTATCCTATGGCAGATGTATTTTGAAGCACTTTGTTGAGGTAATTTATTAAAAATCAACTGTGATACATTCTTCAGCTGAGTTCAGTTTTACTGGAACCAAAAAGAATATGTATCCTCCTCTTTTAAACTGAAACCCTTATGCATGCAAGGAAATGTGGTGGTTCATAGCAGTTGAGTGAATTTTGTTTTCACTTTAAGAGGACCATTTTGTCTTCTAAAGGAGAAGTTTTGAGCGCGGCACTGTTGATTTCCTTCAAATACCTAAGGCACTAAATTGCACACACATGCAGTGGTGAATTTGCCTGAAATTAGTAGATTCAGCTTTTGAATGTATTTAGAATCACAATTCAATTAAGTTTTTTTCTTGTGTTTAAAAACTATTACCAAACATTCTTTATTTTATTCCTGTTTAAGATGGTTGAGATTTCCAGTGGTAAACTTATTATTATCACCTGGGACTCTAGGAGTTCCTTCACCTTGTGTTCTCTTGGACCACTCCTTTTTCAATGGGCAGCTGTAAAGTGTTACAAGCTTTTGTTTCTTGGCTAGGTTTTAAAAGAGAGTGGAATTTTTGAATACACCTGGAAAGAGCTAGAACTGTGGGTGAAAGGTCTTTCGTCTGTTTCTGATTCGGAACAAGACAGTGTCATTTTATTTCTTGAAAGGGTAAGTACAGATTATGTTAACAGATCCTGTATTCCATATTTGCATAAAGTTGAAGATAATTGCATAGTAAATGATATTGTTAAAAATACTTAGTTATCAAATTCCACAATCAAGTAGAAGAGTAGGTATGTTTAGTGGCAAGTTCATCCCTGATACAATGTGGTAGAGTTGAGAATAGTGTCCTTATAATGTATATTTTTGATGTTTTAATGCACACTTCTGGCTAAGTTTATAATGAATTCATTTAGAATGAGAGACTTGCATCTAAATAGCACTGATCATAATCTCAGGGCTCCCTAGGAGCTTTACATAAGTACAAAAGTGCCATTCTTGTAAACTGATCCCTTTATGCAGTTATGGATGGTATCTTATTGAAATAAATTCCAAGGTCTCCTTTCTACTTGATATAAAATACAAGTTTGATTTGCCTGCACAATTTAGGAATGTTTGTTCTAAAAATTAGCGCTCTAATGTTCAGAGAACATCTCCTCCTAACAAAGGACAAACATCTTTCACCCTTTTTTTATTGCATATTCCTCCCTTATACCTCCATAGCTGACACAAATGGGTGAATGGCTTGTTCCTAGCAGGTTGCTCAATGCTGTAAGTAGTTTAGCCATCAGCCTGTTTTTCACATTCCACTAGTGTACCCAAAAGTACCCATACACACTGACTAAGATTAGAAACTCTTTCCACTCCATGGTACTGGTGTTGCTCCTTCCTTAATATCATAAATTGCAACATTTAAAAACTGTAGAATAGTTAGATCCAACAAATTGTACAGTTGATATGATGTCACTAAGTGACAGTAATACAATTGGCTCACTCTTGCTCTTAATATGTGTTTATATATAGTAGGATTTTCAATTTTGCTTATTTCACAGATTTCTTTTTCTTATTTGCATATGCACAATTTTCATAAATTGCTTTGTGTGTTTTCCTAGGTTCTGATAAAGTTAATATCAAATCCATATCCTTACACAGACAAGATCTCAGATGCAATACAAGAAGCCAGCATGCTTCAAGCAAACCTTGGTGGACAGGACTCTGATACCGTCAGCTTGCCTATCTCACATATTGATGGTGAGCAGGGAAGCAATAAAAAATACTGATTCTCTTACTGTTACTGTAGGAAAAAACAAAGAGCAAAAGTAAACCTTTCTGAAAATAAATGTTAATCAATCAGTTAGTGGGAGGTGATGGCTTAGTGGTATTATCACTGGACTGTTAATCCAGAGAGCCAGGTAATGTTCTGGGGACCTGGGTTTGAATCCTGACATGGCAGTGGTGGAATTTGAATTCAATAAAAGTCTGAGATTACAAGTTTAATGATGACCATGAAGCCATTCTTAATTGTCAGGGTCACTAATGACCTTTAGGGAAGGAAACTGCCACCCTTACCTGGCCTGGACTACATGTGACTGTAGACCCACAGCAGTGTGGTTGACTCTTAACTGCTGTCTAGCATGGGCAATGAATCGCCAGTCAGCGATGAGCTCATCCGTGAATGAATTTTAAACAAGTGTTTCAGCCAGTGATGTTAGTTCTGGTAGAATGAATCGCATAGTTGTGGACTGGGGTTTTCAACTTCATTTTATGCCCTCTTTAAAATCTCAGATTAGGAAATTGTGTACATCCAACCACAGTATTTTGACCATTATGTGTAGTGTTTGAAAAATCATTTTCTAAATGCACTGAAACAAATAATCCTGGCTTTTGCATTTAACTGTTTATTCGCATTCAAGTTGATGAAAGATTTATCATGGATAGGTAGGAATGTAGCATCGGAGTTGGAATCCTATCAGCCACAATCTTATTAAGTAGTGAAGGGATGAGTGGCCTACTCTTGTTCTTGGTCGTACGTCATTTGTGGTTGGCAAAATATTTTCCATTTCAGTATCAAGAATTCCCGAGACACACGTTACATGGTTATAACTCAATTTTCTCGGACTCCATCAATTCATTTCACCTCTGACTTCAAAAGAGAGTGAGCCCATGTAAATACTTCTCCATTTTCTAGAGCAGTGATCTTGTAGCTTCCCTGACATTTTGCCCATCAGGATGCAGTGATTTTCATCCTGTCAATCTAAACTGAATTTGAACATAGATTTATGAAATGAAAAGATCAACAGATTATCAAATCCAATACCAACTGAAGTGAGAGAATTACTATGTTAACTACCTTATAATTATTCCCTATGTATAAATAATGTGCAAACTCTGAAGTATTTTATTCCGATGTACTTCTGCTCAATGAACATCATGCAGTGAAATGCATGTAAATTCCATGAACTGTGTAAAGTGAAATGGACCATTACTCAGCCAATTATATTCACTTTGTATAGAATGATTCTCTAACCTTTTATTCTCTTTCAGATGTTCTGGATATGGTGGATGTTATTATGGAGACCAGTGAAGGTCTGAATGAAGAGATTGGGATTACTTTGAGTGAGGATATGATTGCACAGACCTTTCCTTTCAGTGCTGTGGTTACAGCTGCTTTGGAAGCCAAGAACAAGGTTATTTTAGAAAACAGTAGTGGAAAAGGTGAATTGCTGAATGATCTTTGATAAGCGGTTCACTGTGTACAGCAGAACTCCCTAATTCTAGCATTTTAATCTTTATTTTTCAGTTGAAATTGTGTGTGGTTTTGATCAGCACAAATACAAAGTATTTTCATTGCAATTCCCATTCTGATGCTTCAATTCATTTACATAAAAATACACAAAGGATCAAATAAACTATCATGATGATGTATGGAGAAGATGAAATTTGTGTTCCGTTTTCTCCTTTTCTCTTCCATTTTACTTACTAAAGTTCTGTTTGACTGTTGCTACATCCTTTGTTTGTATACTATTACTAAACTTGCTCAGAAACTCTGCATAATTGTTGAAGCAGATTGTTGCTTGGTGTTATCATGAACAAAGGAAGCCAAACAATCTTTTTAAAAAAACAAGTGCATTTGTGTGAGTTTTAATGGGTGGAGCTTTCAGTTTAGGGGGTAACATGTCTGATATCTTGAAATTGTTGCTGAAAGCCTCAACTGAATAAAACTAAATACTCAGCTGTCTCATTTACTGATTCCCATCTTCTTGTGCCATTTCAGATGCTATTCTGAAGTATCTTTCTGTCGTTATGACTGACATTCTACATGTGCAACAAGATCCATTGGCTTTGTGTCTGGTATTACAGTCATATGACAAAGAACTGGATTCATTGCCTGAAAAACAAACTATGCACAAAAATATTTTGCAGCTGCACAAATATTATAGGCTTTGGATCCCACAACAAGCCCAGGAAACGCTGGTAAGAAATTGAATTTCTACGTGGAATCATTCAACAGCTGGGTTGGCACTTAACAATAAAATCAGTGTGTGTCTATACTGTTAGTACTAATCGTACTAATTTCAAATACTCTTTGCTCATGGTTTACTTATTGACTCTCAATATGTGCATTCCTGAAATGTCTTGAATTTTAATTAGCGCTGTAGAATTTATAGTATAACCTAAAATCTATATAGTTAATGTTAATGTTTGGGCTAAACTCAGATGTGATATTTTACTATCCTGTCTAAAACCTTGCCTCCTCTGTTCCCCTCCTCCCCTGAAAATAAAAATCATGTAATATGTTTATAATTTTATCATTAAGCAACTCCTTAATTAAACAACTCCAAATTTTGTTTCCTCCCCATTTACGGTACAGGGCCATATTGGTCAAACCTATGTTCGACATATCTTGAGTCTGGCTGCCTGCTTTATATTATTCTTGAACTTTGACAAAATTAATCATACCTTAAACCTCATTCCATTATTTTGTCCAAATCTGTGCACTCCATTTTTAGTGCACCACCCTCCTGATTATGTCACAGATAGCTCCTCTACAAGTACTATATTGCCGAGAGGAGCTTCTCTTGCACATTAACCCAAGTGCACCCCAGGAACCCACGTTTGGCCTCACTCTCTTCGCTGTCTATATGCAACCCTACTGTTAACATTTCATCACAAGATAAGCCCATCATCCTAGAAAGAGTTGTGTGAATTTTCTTTGAACTGCTTCTATTGCAATTAAATCTGTTTTCAAATAAGAAAAGCAGAATTCCACTCAGATCTCCAGCAGTGCACTCACCAAGGCCTGTGCAGCTGCTGTGAAACTTCTTCGCTTTTATATTCCATTCATCTTGACTTGCTGTACTTGCATACTAACATTTTGTTGTTTACTTAGTGATATTATTCAGGAGTGTTTATCTCATTACTGTTTGCAGGACTTTGCTGTTTAAATTGACTACCACTTTCCCCTAGATTACAACAGTGACTATAACTCAAAAAGTAATTTATAGGAACATGGGACTTAGGAGCAAGAGTGAACTATTTGTCTTTCCAAGCCTGTTCTGCATTCAGTCAGATTGTGGTCTCAACTCCGCTTTCCTGTCCATATCCCTTACGTTCCTTGTCAATCAGATCTAACTCTGTCTTGAAGAGATCAATGACCCAGCCTTATATACTTTCTGGGGAAATGAATTCCAAGTACTGAGACCAGACATTTCTCCTCAGCTCCATCTGAAAAGAGAGACCTCTTATTTTTAAGCTGTGCCCCTTGTTTTTTACCCATACAAGAGGAAACATCCTCCCAGTATTCACTCTCTCATGTCCTCTAATGTTTCAGTGAAATAACTTCTCATTTCCCTAATGTCTAATGAGTATAGGCCTAAACTGTTAAACTTTTCATCAAAAGATAAGCCATCAACCCACAAAGAGTTGTGAATTTTCTTTGAACTGCTTCTAATGCATTGAATCTGTTTTTAAATATGGAAACTAGAATTCCACTCATAACTCTAGGAGCGGTCTCACCAAGACCCTGTGCAGCTGCAGTAAAACTTTCCTAATTTTCTATTCCATTCCCCTTGCATTGATAATCACTTGCTGTACTTGCATACTAACATTGTGTTGTTTGTACAGTAACACATCCTCCATATCACCAAGTTCTGCTGCAGTCTGTCTCCATTTATAGTATACTTCTTTTCCAAAATGAACAAGTTCACATTCTATCACATTATTCTCCATTTGCCACATTTTTGCCCACTCACTTAACCTGTCTACACCTCTTTGTGGACTCTTTACCTCGTCTTTTCAACTTACTTTCTATCTATCTTGGTGTCGTCAGCAAATTTATCTGCCATACATTCAGTCCCATCATCCAAATCATTGATATAGATTGTAAGTAGTTGAGGTCCTAGCATTGTAAGACTTTTAAACAAGGCATCTCACTGTCCTCTGAGGTCCTTACCTGATACTGTAGATATCAACAGCACAAAACAAACTTTGGATATAATTTCCTGTTTATGTGGTAGCCATCTATTAATTTACCAAGCAATAACCTCCATAAACTCAAAGCAGTAGTTGTTTAGTGAGATTCCATATTCCATGTTACCATGGGTTTCTCTGCCATCTAATTCCCCATGTCTTCCTGTGACTGATCAAGTCATGCTTCCTGACTACAGCAGTAATATTCTTGAGGATTGTGGCTTTATACACCTTTCTGATCCCGGTCCCTTGACATACAATGTCTTAAATTGGGTCAACTGCTTGGGTTACCAGACCCATCTTGCCTATGCAAGACCACCTACATGTGGTCATACCTACTACCAGCAGGAAAGATGTCCCCAGTGCATGCCAACAACGGATGTGATTTCTGTACCTTGGTTAGGCAGGAAGAAGTCATTTTCACATTGCTAAGAGACTAGTGTCCAGGTCCAGGTCAATTGCTACGTCAAAGCATCTGGATCACCAGTGACATTTTGTACATATTTCTGTCTGTGTGTCCCTGATTTTCCCAGCATTAATATCATTGATCAGAATCTTTCTCATGTCATAACTCCATGTTGCTATTAAATGGTTTAAAGCTTAGGATGTTGCTGCACCTCACAACTGGCTACATTTGAACACAAGAATAGATACAAGATATATTAAAAGACAAAGAAAAGCCTTATGACAGAAATGTACAAATGACAAAATGTCTCACATCATTGATCCCTGTAGTACTCTATTAATTACGATTTGCCCATCTGAAAATGATCCATTTATCCGCAGTCTCTGTTTCCTGTCAGCTAACCAATCCTTTATCCGTGCTACTACCTACACCATGCACTCTTATCTTATGCAATAACCTTTGATGTAGCACCTTTTGGAAATCCAGGTGCACCACATCCACATGTTCCCTTTAATCCACTTTTCTTAACTTCCTCAAAGATTTGTAATATATTTGTTACACACCATTTTCCTTTCACAAAACCATGTTGACTCTCCATCGTGATTTTCTGACTATCTTGCAGTAACTTCCTCAATAACAGATACTAGTAATTCCATTTGACAGATGTTAGGCTAACTGACCTATAGTTTCGTGCTTCCTGTCTCCCTCATTTCTTGAATAAAAGTGTTGCATAATATATTTTCCAATCCGCTGGGACCCTTCCAGATTATAAGCAGTGCCTCTACTATCACTGCAGCTACTTCTTTTAAGATGGTAGGATGCACAGGCTATCTTATCCTGCGAACTTGTTGGAATTTAGATCTCATAGCTTTCCTGGTACCTTTTTTCCTTGGTGTTGGTTATTGTTTTAGTTCCTCCGTCCCTTTTACCTCTTGATTCTCCATTTACTTTAAGGAAAGTTTTTAAGAGTTCAAAAGTGAAGACAGAAGCAAATATGTGTTCAATGGCTTATTTTCCAATACCAATTCCCCAAACTCACTCTCTAGAGGACCATCACTAGCTCTAGTTACTCTTTTCCTACTTAATATTAGAGAAACTCTTACGATCAATTTTTATATTACTAACATTTTTTTCCATATTCTGTCCTTTTTTTTTGGAAGTCATTCTTTGCTGGTTCTTAAAATCTGACCAATTGTCTGACTTACCAAAATCTTTACAGATTTGTGCACTGTTTCTTTTGATTTGACAGTATTCTTAACTTCTTTATTTAGTCACTGATGCGCATCCTTCCCAAAGAGTTAATTAGCTGGGATGTACTTTGGTATATCCTGAGATAATGGATTAAACTGCATTCTATTCTGATAATTCAAGCAAGACCTTGTATAAACAAGTGCAAACTGCTTCAAAGAAGCATGAACATTAGGTTTTTTTTTATGTACTTAAAAATTAAAAACATTCTGTGCACAAGATATATGAGAACAACACACTCTGTTAGTGCTTAAAGACCTAAATATACAGGAAATAATTTTCTTGGAGTATTTTGATATCTCAAAGCTGCAAAATGATCATTGCAGACATTGTTGAACAGGTTGTATTTTGGTACCGGGTATTTGTCTGACCAGAGAATTTACCAGACCATGTCAGGGTCAGCTTGGGAGTTTTTAAACAATTCCTTTCTCTATTCCAACCCCACTTTTATCCTGAAGATGCTGACTCATAAAAGCTTTTCCCTTGTGCGAACTTCTATTGGTAACTTTAAACTGCCTTGGCATCATTTAATTGTCTGGAAATCTACCTTGCTACACTGTAAAATGATTCTTCTTCAGAGAACCAGACACACTGCAGATTCTTCAGAAAACTGGAAGTACAATGGGTGCAGGACCACAGGGTGCTGGATTAGGCAAGTGCAAACCATGATTACAAAATTAGTACAGCTGCATAGATTTACCTGCAGGTGCAATCACACATTCAGGGGAGATCTTAGATATCACATTAACTGAACTATTTCATTAATTGACAAAAAGCTATTTTTGAATGAATTGAAAAAATGACTTTTTTTCTGAAATTTATCCACAGCTTGAACAGTTTGGTTCAGATGCAATGAATCCTGCAGTATTGAAAGATACTTCATTCTGCAGCCTTCTAATGAATGCATATGGAATGGGAGATACCACCCTTCTAAATGATGAGGTTAAAGAAGATTTGAAGCAAGCTGTTACAAAATTGTGTCTACACGAGCTAGTTCTGGCTGTGAAGCAGCTGATTTTATACATCCGAACTTCTGTGGAGAACTTTAGTAAAGTGAGTATGATATTTGTTCCCAGTCCAACAGGGAAAACTATATTTTTATACAACAATTAACTGTTCCTTTAATGTTGAAATAATGTCTGTGTAGTATCTTACTCTGCTTAACCCCTAAAACTGAAACTTAGTATACTGGAAAGGGTGGGGAGAAAAACATGAGTTTCAGGTCTAATTTTTTTCCAGTTTTGTTGCTGAGTAATTGAAATATTTTCTGGTTTTCTTTCTGATTTCCAGCATCCACAGTATTTTTCTTTTTATATTACTGCTCGCCTCCATCTTGCTTGTGTAAAGTGGATTGTTCACGTCAAAATAAGCAGAACTATGTGATTTCAGTTTTAAACCTTTGCTGTCGAGTAAGATTTGAACAAAATCTTGGTTTATGTTGAAAGGTTACATTGTATGTGACAGTGTATTCTGTTCAGAAGAAGCATCATATTGGACTCAAAATGTTAATTCTGTCTCTCCCCCTTATGGATGTTACCAGAGCTGCTGAGTTTCTCCAGCATATTCTGTTTTTATTGTAAATTTTGCTTTTATTTAATAAGGCCTATTTGCTTAAGAGAGATATCTGAAATTTAAGCGCCAAACTGCATCTTATTTATTGAACCTTAGCCATCAATTTATTGTTGGAGTATTTATTGTACTTCTTCAGTTGAGAAACTGAAATGTCCCTGAAGCATGAAGGGCACAGCTTAAAATGGAATTTTTTTTTACCTGTGTTTATATGCCTGCTGCACTGGAGATTCTTCAACAGCCCCCACCCACACACTTGTTCAGGAACTTAACAACAAAGATGATCTTGTTGAAACATAGAATCCCTATGTGGAAAGAGGCCAGTTGGGCCCATTGAGTCTGCACTGAGTCTCCGAAGAGCATCCCACCCAGATCCCCTGCCCCATCCCCGTAACCCCATATTAACCATGGTTAATCCACCTACCTAACATATCCCTGGACACTACGGACAATTTAGCATAGCCATTCCACCTAACCTGCATATCTTTCGACTGTGGGAGGAAACCAGATCACCTAGCAGAAGCCGACACAGACTTCGGGAGGACATGCAAACTCCATACAGATAGTCACCAAAGGCTGAGTCAAGCCCAGGTAGCATGAAAGGTAAGTGTGAAGTTAAGGAGCCAGTTGGTTAAGAGTGTCATTGTGCCAGGTGAGACTCCCGTTAGGTATGGTGTCAGTTAACCAGATGAGTGCTTTGAGTAGGTCGAAGATGTATTAGTTTGGGCAAGAGGAGTTGAGGTTGTGCATTCAGCATGATGGGTGTGGTGGGGGTATTACTGGGCCTGAGTGGAAGGGAGCGAATTGGATCTGGGGTGGGGTGCAGACGAGGTGTTGGGGAGTGTCAGTTCATGTCAGGGGGTTATCTGGTTCACCAGTAGGAAAGAACATTGGGTCAGGCTGAAGTCTTCTCAGCATGTCAGGTTCTGTAGTTGAGAGTGGTTATAAAGTCTAGGGTTGGACCGGGATGGAGTGCAGGGTGTCAGACCAATAGATTTGATTGGGGTCGGAAGCAGGGTGCAATTGGGTTGGGTTTTGAGGTGGCAGCAGGATAAGGGGGTGGGGTAGGTGTCGTTGGATTGGCGATCTGGGTCCGGTGGAGTTGGGGGGATTGTTGCAAATAACTGTTCACATTAATAGTTACCTAGGATTCTAATCCTCAGATTCTTTTCTGGGTAATGGTTAAGCTAAACTGAGTCAGGACTCTTTTCGAGGGATCCAGACTGGGGAAGAATTGCCAACCAGAATCTTCAGTTTCACAGGTAATTCACATTGAATCTGCTACGATGGGGTTCCTGGATGATCCTTATGCACAAGTTCAACCTGCACTGCTCCAATTACTCACTGGCCATCAGAATTCCTAGGCAGTGTTTGAGTTGGCTCCAAATAAAACAGATCTTGTGTGGTGTGTGTACTGGCCTTGTGGGGGCAGCAGTGCATTGATTTTATCTTGTATTGAGCAACATGTTTGAGAAATGTCAACCTGAATCCCATGTTCCGTGATTTTTTTTTTTTACTTTATTTGTTCATGGGACATGGGCATCGCTGGCTTGGCCAGTATTTAATGTTCAGCCCTAATTGCCCAACAATTTAAAAGTCAACCACATTGCTGCAACTCTGGAGTCACAAGTAGGCTCAACCAGGTAAGGACAACACAATTCAAACACTCAGCGAAGTAGATGGGTTTTTACAACTTTAGACACATGGTCACCATTAGGTTAGCTGTTTTTAATTCCAGAGTTTTATTGAATTCAAACCTGCCGAAGTGGGATTCAAACCCATGTTGCCAGAACACTAGCCTTGCATTTTGGACGACAAGCCCAGTGACATTACCACCACGCCATCACGTCTTCACAAGCACATACGTCCAGATGGCATTTCTTGATAGAAAACCAAGAATTATTCTTCCAATCCCTGTCCCGGATGGTACTTTTATTTGGCCTTTCCTCTTGGAACTTTTTTACGTTCATCCATATCCTTTCTGGCCCTCAGCATGGTTGGCAGAAACAGTGATTTGTTACCATCATGTGAATCATGGGCAGTGGGATCAAACTTTGAGCCAGGTCTTCGTTCTCATACAATATTTGTATCAGTTTATGCAGGGCTTCCGTTAATGCCCAATCTCTATAGCAGTACCTGCCATTATAACAGAGGGAAAAGTATATTTTTCAGACCCTTTTAGACTCAATCCTGTCGCAAATCCCATGCTGTGACATTTGGCACTTTTAATTTTACTAAGGAATTTAGTCCTTTCTCGCTCTGTGTGATTGAAAATGTCCATTCACGACATCAGAATATTTTGGGGCAGACAGAGTCATCCACTCCATCATTTTCTGTGTGTTTGTATGTGAAACAAATAGCAGCAACAGTCTTAACTAGATTCACTTGCATTAAAACATATCTTACACATTACATCACTCAATTCATGTGTCTCTTAACTGCCTAAGCCTTGGACAAGGTGTTTAGTGGATGTGGAGAGTTATAGTTTTAGTCGTTCCTATTGTTTTCTGCTGCTTTGAGTTTGCTTTTCAAGTGTTAAAAACACCAAAATCAGTATGTCTTGTCAGTAGGCAGCTGGTCTCATGGTGTTTCAATGTGTTGTTTTAAAACTTTGGGAATGCATCTGTTACTTTAGATCAATTATCTCAAAACAGCAACACTCCTGAAAATGTTTCCTGCTTAACAATTTTGGTGATTGCACTCACTAAAACAGAAGTTGCTCAAAAAGCTCAGCAGTTCTTGCAGTATCTGTGAAGAGAAATCAGAGTTAACATTTCATAGAATCCCTTCAGTTTGGAAACAGGCCCTTCGGTCCAACAAGTCCACACCAACACTCAGAGCATCCCACCCAGACCCATCCCCCTATAACCCACCTACTCTACACATCCCTAAACACTAGGGGCAATTTAGCATGGCCAATCCACCTAGCCTGCACATATTTGGACTGTGGGAGGAAACCGGAGCACCCGGAGGAAACCCACACAGACACAAGGAGAATGTGCAACCTCCACACAGACAGTGGCCCGAGGGTGGAATCAATCCCAGGTCCTTGGCGCTGTGAGGCAGCAGTGCTAACTACTGAGCCACCGTGCTGCCCTAACGTGGTGATTTCAAGTGTGGTGACCCTTCCTCAGAACTGATGGTAGCTAGGAAAATGTCATTTTTTAATGCAGAAAACAGGGTGGGGCAAGGGGTTGAGGATTAAATAATAGGTGGGGATAGAGCCCAAAGAGAGAGAAAAGCCATTGGGCAGACAAAGGAGTGGATAACACTGGCTGGAAGGGTGAATAGCTGTTAACGGAGACTGTTAGTGGCTAATAATGGGTACCATTTACTCCTCGTCCCCTCACCCCCACTTTATCTTCTGCATAAAAATCGACATTTTCCCTGCTACCATCAGTTCTGAGGAAGGGTCACCAGGCGTGAAACGTAAACTCTGATTTCTCTTCACAGATGCTGCCAAACCTAGAACATAGAACAGTATAACACAGCACAGGCCCTTCGGCCCACAATGTTGTGCCGACCTATTATCCTACTAAGATCAATCTACCCTGCATACCCTACATTTTACTATCCTCCATGTACCTATCCAAGAGCCGCTTAAAAGTCTCTAAAGTATCTGACTCCACTACCACTGCCGGCAGCGCATTCCACACGCCCACCCCTCTCTGTGTGAAGAACCTACCTCTGACATCTCCCCTATACCTTCCTCCAATCACCTTAAAATTATGCCCCCTCATAACAGTTATTTCTGCCCTGGGAAAAAGGTCTCTGACTATCCACTGTATCTATGCCTCTCATCATCTTGTAAACCTCTATCAAGTTACCTCTCATCCTTCTTCACTCGAATGAAAAAAACCCTAGCTCCCTCAACCTTTCCTCATAAGACCTGCCCTCCAGTCCAGGCAGCATCTTGGTAAACCTCCTCTGCACTTTCTCTAAAGCTTCCACATCTTTCCTATAATAAGGCGACCAGAACTGAACGTAATATTCCAAGTGTGGTTAGACCAGAGTTTTATAGAGCTGCAGCATAACCTCACAGCTCTTAAACTCAATTCCCCTGCCAATGAAAGCCAACACACCATACGCCTTCTTTACAACCCTATCGTCTTGGGTAGCAACTTTGAGGGATCTATGGACGTGGACCCCTAGATCCCTCTGTTCCTCCACACTGCCAATAATCCTGCCATTGACCCTGTATTCTGCATTCAAATTTGACCTTCCAAAATGAATCACTTCACACTATTCCGGGTTGAATTCCATCTGCCACTTCTTTGCCCAGCTCTGCATCCTGTCAATGTCCCGTTGCAACCTACAACAGCCCTCCATACTATCCACAGCTCCACCAGCCTTTCACTTCCTTATCTAAGTCATTTACAAAGATCACAAAGAGCAGAGGTCCCAGAACACATCCCTGCAGAACACCACTGGTCACCGAGCTCCAGGCTGAATACTTTCCATCTACTACCACCCTCTGTCTTCTTTTAGCCAGTTTTGTATCCAGACAGCCAAATTTCCCTGAATCCCATGCCTCCTTACTTTCTGAATAAGCCTACCATGTGGAACGTTATCGAATGCCTTGCGAAAATCCATATACACCACATCCACTGCTCTACCTTCATCGATGTATTTTGTCACATCCTCAAAGAATTCAGTAAGGCTTGTGAGGCATGACCTGCCCCTCGCAAAGCCATGCTGGCTATTTCTAATCAAACTGTGCTTTTCCAAATAATCATAAATCTTATCTCTCAGAATCCTCTCCAATAATTTGCCCACCACAGGAGTAAGACTGACTGGTCTGTAATTTCCACGATTATCTTTATTCCCTTTCTTGAATAAGGGAATGACATTTGCCACCCTCCAATCTTCTGGTACTACTCCAGTGGACAGTGAGGTCACAAAGATCATTGTCAAAGGGGCAGCAATCTCTTCCCTCGCGTTCCGTAGCATCCTTGGGTATATCCCGTCTGGCCCAGGGGACTTATCTATCCTCATATTTTTCAAAATTTCTAGCACATCCTCCTTCCTAACATCAACCTGTTCGAGCATATCTGCCTGTTTCATGCTGTCCTCACGGGTGAATACTGAAGCAAAGTATTCATTAAGGACCTCCCCTACCTCCTCTGACTCCGCACACAAGTTCCCTCCACTATCCCTGATTGGCCCTACCCTCACTCTGGCCATCCTCTTGTTCCTCACATAAACATAGAATGCCTTGGGGTTTTCCTTGATCCTACCCGCCAAGGTTTTCTCATACCCTCTTCTAGCTCTCCTAAGTCCGTTCTTCAGTCCTTCCTGGCTACCTTGTAGACCTCTAGAGCCCTGCTGATCTTTTCCAGCAAGTTCTGTTCCTTATTTCTGATTTACAGCATCCGCAGTTCTTTCGGTTTTTATTTGGTGATTGCACTGATGAATGGGTAGGAGATAAAGATTAATTGCTTGCTGATTTGTAATTCCTTGAAGGAGATAACTTATTCTGGTGCTATCCTACATCTTTCTTTATTGTTTCAGATGAAAAGAGGCACTGGCTTAGAGCTGATTGGATTATTTATGGATCTTTTGAAACTGTTGTTCTGGAGATGTGAACAGATTAATGATTCCATCAACATGAAGTTCATGAAAGAAAGTGAACCCAAGCTTTTCTTGGACCTTGATTTTATCATGGATGGAGAGATAAAGAAGGACCAGGTAACCCCTCCGACCCCTGAGATCTCTTTGTACTTGAAAGGTTTGGTGTTCAGTCACAGCGCCTGTGGGTCACTGCTCGTTAGAGTTTAGTTGTATATATGTTGAAGAGGCACAAATTAGCATCTCAGTCTGTGCTATCTATGAGGCTGATGCACTGATTATTTCTGTCAGCCTTTTAAGAATGTTTGTTTGTTCCTGCATTTCTACAACTGAAGTCAAAAGGGTTTCTTTGTTCATACTGTTTTTCTTGCTAACCGCCTCCTATCCAGTCCCCTGCTGAATATGCTGATGCTTTATTGAAATGTAGTTTCATAAAGGCTGGTTACACTTCAGTATGTCACCAGAATGGCCGTTACCCACATATGAACTTACACAGCATGGGCTGAATTCTCAAAGAACAGGGACAGGTGACCAGGCCTGCGATTTTTGTGCTGCCAGCCCTCGCAATGGTGTAACACCACGATCCCGACTGTGAGCTGCTGGCTCAGGTCACACCTGTCAAGTGGTGCATTTTCAATCGAGGCTTTCTTCCCTTGCCAAGTCGGATTTCCAGTTGGCATGTGGGGAGTCCACATGGCCTAGAGCACATCTAGGCCAACATGGTACACTCAGGTGGGGTGATTGGACATGAAACCACAAAAGACCCAATCTCCTCCTCATATCCATCAGGTAACAGCTGCAGCTTCAAGAACACAGCAATATAACAATGGTTAATACAAAAATAAGGAAAACTCATCTGTATTTCTCTTTCTTTCTTTCTCTTTCTTTCTATCTTTCTCTTTCTATCATTCTCTTCTCTCTCACTCTCTCTTCTCTCGCTCTCTTATCTCATGCATTTCCTTTTCTCGTGCTCGCGCTCTTTCCTCTCTCTCACGCTCACACCCTTTTCTGTTGCTCTTTCTATGTTTTCCTCTTACCCTTCCCATTTCTCTCCTTCTCCTATTTTCCCTTCACCATCATCATTACTTTGACAGATGGTGGGTCTGCCAATGTATGAGTAATGCAGAATCTCCAGTTGACTCTCCATCTTTAGGACCTTGCAACTCAGCGATTCGGCACCCTGGCCTTTAATTGGTCACTCTTCTAGTTCTGGGTACCACAGGAATATGCTGTATGGAATCAGAACACATTCCTAGCCTCCCTGTGTTTCGCACACCCAGAATGAAAATTCAGCTCTCGTTGATTTCACTTGGTTCCGATGTTGTACTCATCTGGTATTCATAAATATGTAGGGCATACTGGTTGATCAGCTGGAAACCATGATTAATTTCTTTTCCCCATTATCCAATTCAGGGATCCTGGGCTCATGCTTCTATTTTTGTTTCCCTAACTAAGGTAGATTAATTGCACAAACTTGACAATCAAAGCTAGGACCTTTATTGCTGTAAGATAAGGGGCGAAATGGATTCTGAGTCCTTTTTTTTGGTTGAAATGATTGTGTCTGCATAAAAGCTAGAGAACATGATCTATGCATTGAGTGTTTATTCTGTGTTGTTGCATGCTACAGAGACATTCAGTTGGAGGAGATTTTCTTTGATTTGTACAGTGCTGGATAACATCGTGGGGAATTCAATATTTAACATTATTGCTAATTTTGTAAATAAACTCAGCAAGCCAGTTTAGTTGTCTGAAAGACGTTTTAGAAAAGGCTGATATTTCTGATGAGACATGGTCAGAACCCAGTTTTGTACTTGAAAATATTGATTCTTATGAATAATCCCATCTCAAATTTTAACTTAGCTTTTCCTTCCAAGGGCTAACTTAATTGCATATATTTGCTTCAGCTTTATCCTTGCTGTAATTTTCACTGTTTATGTTGTGTGTCGATCCACTGTTACTTTCAGGTCCTGGAAAGCATGTTATTGGCCATTTTTAAACACCCAACGCTGGAACAGTGGTTCTTGGCTTTGGAATTACAGACTGCAATACCACATAGCTTAAACCCTGTCAGTTTCAAAATGCTGTCAGCCCACCTCACTTCTGAAATCCTGAGCCTCCTCCAACAGAGTGCTCCATCATTGCATCGACTAGGTCGCATGGATGTAGTGATGACTTATTTTAAAGCTATCGCTGAAGCTGCATTGAAAGAACTTGAAATGAGAAAAACGACTGAAGAGAAATCAACCGTGAGCAATAAGAAGTCCTTACCTTTAAAAGGTCTGGAGATTTTGCATGGCTATCTGGATACAACTCAGCTCAAAGAACTTGTGACATCCATGTTGGAACTCCCAGAAAAATGTTTAGCCATCCAGACTAAGCCTGAGAATGGAGGTGATGGAAAGAAACAATTAACCATGTATGGGAAGATTTTGGTCCAAATCCTTATAGAAAATAACCAGGAGTCTCCAGGCAGAGGTGATCTGGTGCTATCGTGTTACCATTTCAATGCTTTAGGTACACTTTTACAGTCTTCACACAGTGAAGAGTTGGAGAAGGTTCTTCTTGGAATCCTAAAGAAAGAGCCGCTCTTTGCACAACTCGTGAAATCAGATGTTTTTCTTCATTGCTTGAATCGCGTGACTGAAACTTCCCTCTCGATTTGTGAGATACTCATTCAACAGAGCAGCACTTACCTTTTACAATTCGAACTTTGGTGCTTAGTTGCAGGGAGAATGAAATACCTGCAGAGCAATATGGCTGTTTACCTTTCACTGTTTAACATGTATCTACAGCACCAAGGAAAGAGTGACTATGCCCGACCAAAGAAAGGTAATTAACATTTTAATGTATTCTACTTGTACTCATCTAAGCCTTTCAATTACATTCTCTTATTTTGGGGAAACACGTTAAAATAGATTAATTGTTATCATGAATATGTCACAATTTGAATGTTTTACTTGTTAATGACAGTAAGTTATTGCTGTAGTGACTAGGGATTTGATGGATTAACTTTTAAGGCCCCATAGCTGCTGTCAAAGGCTGTAAATTGGGGTGAATAGAACATACATTATCCTGAAGATTCTGCAACAGTTGCCATGGTTTCTTGTCAGTGAGGCTTCTGGATGTGGATGATCCATTGGATTATCTAAAGCTATAATTACAAATATACAAACAAGAATAAGCTTCTCAGCCCTTCACACCTGCTGATTGTGGCTGATCTGGTTTTAATCTCAACTCTACATTCCTGCATATCCCCAAAAATCATTCGACCCCTTGTTCATCAAGAGTCTGTCTTTAAAATATTTAAAGATTCTGCATCGACTGCCTTTTGAGGAAGGGAATTCCAAAGACATCTCTGTTTTAATGTTATAATTAATGTTATTCTTGGCAGAGAGAAAGTGAACCTTTAGTGATAAATCTGTCTAAAATGTTCACCTAAAAGAGGAAATAACTTCAATAGATGAACTTTTGTTTTAACTCAGTTGTTAGAGGATGTCTTTCTTACACAAAAGTAATAAAGTGAAACAGTGAAACAGAACAAATGCTGGAAAAGGGAATTAGATTAGTTTGGTAGTTGTTTTTGACCTGGGCAGACTTGATGGATTGAAGGGCCTTTTTCAGTGCTATAGCCCTCTATGACAATGCCTCTGTGACCGCGATTGAATTGCTATCATTGTGACATGCCTAGTAGGACCAAGTGATTCATTTAGCATTTTTGCAACATCTAAAGATGATATTTTGTCCTAATTCAGTCTTTGCAGATGTGCTGATGTTTATCAAAGCAACCATGTGGAAGAGACTTGTAAGCTCTATTACATCAGACGATCCATCCAATGAAGTTGATTTGCAAATGCAAGTACTCTCCAGATTAGTGAAGTTATTGCCATCTCACACCGATGTGTCATGTATTATGGAACAGCTACCTCCAGTGCTGGAGAAAACAGCCAGTTCTTCAAGGTAGATTCCTTCATTTGCTTTGAATGTCAGTTCCATAGTGTCTCTAATGGTATTAAGTGTCTCAAGGTGTCACACACCAATGTAAGAAAAAAAAATCAAAGGAGGAGTTAGTGGAAAGGGTGTCCAAAATCTTGAGTAGAAAAATGTTGAGGCTCTTTAAGCAAGGGGAGGGGTGTGTATATAAGGTATTTAGAACATGGAAATCCAGTGATTTAGCTGCACAGATTCAAATATTCTTGTCAGTGGGTTATGTTTCCCAATGTAACTGAATTTTCTGCTATTTTGATGAATTGTGAGAAAAGTTAGTATTAGTGAAAATTTGTAGCTCGCGTTGTGGATGCACTTGTTCATTTGCTCGCCGAGCTGGTTGTTCCATGGTGCGCAGACATTTTGTTACCGTTCTCGGCAACATCATCACTGTGACCTCTAATCGAAGCATCGGTGTTCCGCTCCGTTCCAAATTTATGTGATCCTCTGGTGTGATGGGTCTTGTCACTTACAGTTCTGTTTTTTAGCAGCGGTCTATTTCTATGTTTTTGTTAATAGAGTCCTGTGTTGCGAAGCAGGCTTCCAGAAATTCCCTTGCATGTCTGGTGTTCGCTTGGCCCAGTATAGTCACTTCGTCCCAGTCGAACTGACGGCCCTCATTGTCAGTGTGCGTCGAGATAAGTGAATATTGATTGGGTCTTTTTACTGCCAGCTGGTGTTCGTGTATCCTGGTCGTCAGGAAGGTTTCCTCTCCATTTGTCCAATGTAATGTTTATTGCGCACTCTGCATGAGATTCTGTATATCACGTTAGTCTTGTTTACTGTCAGTGTGGGGTCTTTAGTCTTTGATAGCATTTGACGCCATGTTGATGTAGGTTTGTGTGCAATCATGATTCTGTGCGGTCAAAGGAGCCTGATTGTCATTTCTGATATATTTTTGATGTAGGGTAGCGTTGCTGGTGTCTTTTCTGTTGCACTGTGTCCTCTGACTGTCGGTTGTTTTGTAGGCATCTACGGATGAAACTTCTTGGGTATCCATTGTCCGTAAATCCCAGAACTCCAGAGTATGGAAGAGGAACACCTGCACAAAGTATTTACCAACAACGGATACCCAAGAAGTTTCATCTGCAGATGCCTACAAAACAACCGGATACGGTACAACAGAAGACACTAGTAATGCTACCCTACATCAAAAATATATCAGAAATGACAGCCAGATTCCTTAGGCTGCACAGAATCGTGATTGCACACAAACCTACATCAACACCGCATCAAATGTAATCAAAGACTAAAGACTCCATATCGAAAGTAAACAGGACTAACATGATATACAGAATCCCATGCAGCGAGTGCAATAAACATTACGTTAGACACACGGGGAGGAAACCGACGACCAGGATACACGAACACCAGCTGGCAGTAAAAAGACATGACCAATATTCACTTGTCTCGATACACACAGACAATAAGGGCCATCAGTTCGAGAAGTTGGTATTTTTAATATAATTTTGTAAGAATCTGTAAATGATTCCAACCAAATAGTGGATTCTAAGCAGCTGTGGTTTTCATCCCATGAAACCTCGAACGGAAGAATGATAACTACGTTTAGGTAGCACCTTTTATTACTTTCTGCTGTCTCAAAGCTTTTTGAAGCCTAGTTTCTGTTGTGATGTGGGCAATAAACTGCAGAAGTTTTGAACATGGCAAGTTCGCTTGGATGGAAGAAAATGGTAGTTAATTAATTTTCGGTGTCAGTTGAGGGAAAGCTGTTGGTCAGGGCGGTGTAAGAACTCCCTTCATCATCTTCAATATAGTGCCATGGGATCTGTTGTATCCCCTGCAAAGGCCCGCAGTGTAATATTTCAGCTGAAAGACAACACCTTCTGCAGTGCAATATTCCTTTAATGCCAGCAATAAATAAGCTCACAAATCCATAGCATGGAAGTCAAGCACATAAACTTTCAACTCAGAAATAAAAGCACTGCCCATTGAGCCAATTGCTGAATGAGAGCTAAGATGTCTTTATTCCAAGACAACATTTATAAATGTTTTGGTTTTTCTGAAACTCTGTTGCATAACCCTCATAAATTTATAAGATTGTTAATCATACAATATTTTGCATTTGTGTACAATGCATTTTTGTGAAATACAAAGGCTTTGATGTTAGACCATAACTTTTTTTTTTTTACATCCTCTAGAGAGTGTTCCGGTTTCAATTTTCTTCTAGCTTATATTTTTAATAAAGTATCAGATTCTGTAAAATTGAGTCACTTAATTGCAGGTGGATTTTGGCAGATGCAGTCTGCACTGCATTGGGGCACAATCCTGAAGACCAGCGATCCTGGAGAAAATCCATGTTAAAGGCCTGTCTCCGGTGGGTAGTTGCCACCTATAGCAACAGCAAGGATCAGGAGGAGAGCATGCAGGAAACTGAAATAGCAATGCTGGGCAGGGTACAGGAGCTGGTGGTAAGTGTCACAATTATAGCTTCTTTCAAATTCAATCATATTCCACTGCTAGAAACAAAGACGTTTCGATTGAATTCTGTTCCGTTTGCAGGTTTTAATCGGTGAGGTTGACTCAGATGAATGGAACAACTTTTTAAAGAAAGGACTAAAGTAAGTTAAAGTATAAATTATTTTTAATAATATCTACACAGGGGAGTGCCTTGAAAATGATGTCCTTTTCACAATTAAACAGTACACTTGTGATACAACATATTGTTGGCTCCGAGAGTCTAGCTGTCTTGTGAAGGAATGCTGGGTGGATATGTGTATACTTATGTATACGTTGCATATTTGTGTGTATATGTAAAAACTGTAATTGGATATTCAGTGCTTAGCATATCTGACAATATCTAATTATAAGCATGTATCAATAAATAGCTGACAACACGTGGTCAGCCCACTTGTTCAGATGAAGGAATGGTGCTGCCAGACTTAAAATGGAAAGGATTATTAGCATTCTTTATCATTAATGCTTCTTGCTGTCTTCATCCTCCTTCGTCCGTTCAGATGTCGGGTGGTAGGTGGCATGGTAGGGACTGTTTGATATGTTAAGTCAAAAGGAGTTGAATGTGGAAATGAGACAGTTATGAAAACGTTTGACAAGAGATGGCAATGTAGCTATAGTAAGGTCAAAAGTGGAAAATGTCAAGAAGAAGAAAGAACAGTAAAGGAATGATAGAGGAGTCACAGTCAGGAAGATGTGGAAGTGAATACAGATATGGAAGTGATTGACTAATATATTCTCAGTAATTGAGATTGTGGACTTGATATCAACTGCTGCACCAGGCGACCTGATTTAAAATTGGCTACTGCTGCAACAGTTTGCCAGGAGTCTGGGGATTCAGCAGTGAAATGGAAGAGGGAGTTGCCAAACTTAACATGGTAAGTGGTGGTTTCAGCACATTTTGTGGGCTGGCTGTCTCTTACATTTCAGTGCAAGGAGAATGAGAAGAGAACACAGAATCCTGATGATAATTTTAAAATTATTTGTCCTTGCCATTCCTTTTCCTGGCCACTTGAGGGAGCCTTTATCTCCCCAGATTGTCTTAGAATCATAGAGTTATACAGCACGGAAACCGACCGTTCAGTCCAACTCGTTCACGTGAACCAGATAACCCAATCTGACCTAGCCCCATTTGCCAACATTTGGCCCATATCCCTCTAAACCCTTCCTATTCATGTACCCATCTAAATGCCTTTGAAATGTTGTAATTGTACCCATTTCTATCATTTCCTCTGGCAGCCCATTCCATACACGCACCACCCCCTGCATGAAAAAGTTATCCCTCAGATCCTTTTTAAATCTTTCCCCTCTCACCTTAAACCTATGCCCTCCAGCTTTGGACTCCTCCACCCTAGGAAAAAGACCTTGGCTATTCACCCTATCCATGCCCCTCATGAGTTTATAAACCTCTATACGGTCACCCCTCAGCGTCCAATGCTCCAGGGGAAATAGCCCCAGCCTATTCAGCCTGTCCCAGTAACTCAAACCTTCCAGGCCTGGAAACATACTTGTAAATCTTTTCTGCATCCTCTCAAGTTTAACAATATCCTGCCTATAGAAAGGTGACCTCTTGTCCCCATGCCCTCCAAATCATGGGCCTCTTCAACTTCCCAGTGGATTGTAGCTGTACCCAAGAGTTTATGGCTTTGGCCTGCTGCTACTAGGGTGTTCCTTTTGTATCTGCCAGCCAGTCACTCCTTGTACCCAGCTACCAGCTTGGAACAGAAGCTAATGTCTTAGTCCATATTGAGAACTACGTGTGATGGCACAGCCGCACGGTAGACCATGGATCTGGAAGCAAAGGTCAAGAAAGAGATCAAGCAAAGAAATTGGCAAGGCAATGGAAGGTGACTTCAAATGAAGATTTAAATTGCCAAAGAAATAGTAAGAGTGAAAGGAAGAAGAGGACGAGCAATAAATACAGGGAACGTTGAACAAATAGGCATTGGGTGAAAATTTCAAATGCAGGAAAGATACTGAAGGAACCAGGAGACTGATGTTATGTGTACCGCCTACAGGTTTGGACAAATTTCTTTCCAGCTTACTGCATTTAAATAGAAGCTATTTTATTTAATAGTTCAGACGACTGGCAAGACCTGTGCCAAATTAGTTTCTATAAGACCTGTATATTAGAAGAAGAAAAGGCTGAGGAAGTTGAGTTTTGAGGTTTGGAGTTCTGTAAAAGTATAAGTCGGAACATAAGTTGATATGGTGAGTTTTTATTTTAACACGTTGCAAATGCAAGGAAACAAATGAATGTAGACAATGTAGGCATATTGTATTGGGAGCTTAAAAGTGGCAGCTTCACAAAAGGAACAACCACAGAATTATTTTGAAAACTTCACTGCATAAATCAGTGTCTCTGAAAACATTTCTGATTATATTTCTCCTTTGAATGATTCCTCTCTTATAATGGCAGGTACCGCTATAGAGATTGGGCATTTATGGAAGCCCTTCATAAACTGGTACAAATATTGTATGAGAACGAAGACCTGGCTCAAAGTTTGATCCCACTGCCCATGATTCACATGATGATAACAAATCACTCTCTGTTTCTGCCAACCATGCTGAGGGCCAGAGAGGATCTGGATGAATGCAGAAAAACAAGAGGTAAGGCCAGATAAAGAGTGTCTAGGCATTGGAAGAATCTTCTTGGTTTTCTCTCTAGAGACGTCATTTCGAAGTATGTGCTTGTAGAGAAGTGATAGCGTAGTGGTAATGTCAATGGGCTGGTCGTCTGAAGTGCAAGGCTAGTGTTCTGGCAACATGGGTTTGAATCCCACTATGTCAGCTTTGAATTCAGTAAAAATCTGGAATTAAAAAGAGCTAACGTAATGGTGACCATGAGTTTAAAGTTGTAAAAACCCATCTAGTTCACTGAGGGTTTGAATTGTGTTGTCCTTATCTGGTCTAGCCTATTTGTGACTCCAAAGTTGCAGCAATGTGGTTGACTCTTAAGTACCTTTTAGGCAATTAGGGCTGGGCGTTAAATGCTGGCCCAGCTAGCAACACCTGTGTTCCATGAATGAATAAAGAAAAAGAAAAATTCTTTATATTTTTGGAAGGGGGTGTATAATGTTAGAATTATAGCATTTTGTGAAGATTTCATTTGATCATTATAAAAAAATGAAAATAAATAATTTGCTGTCTAAGGACAAGTGGTTTACAGTAGCAAATTTCCAGCACTTGGTTGTTTAAAGATTTCTTTTAAATTTTATTATAAAGAACTGATATGTCAAAAGCATTCTTCATGATAATTTCATACACTGTTCAGCAAAATGCAAAGTTCTATTTTGGAAACAAGATAATACACGTGAGATTTTGTAATTTGACTGCTGCTTAGTAAGTGATTAGTTCCTGCCAGCTGATCCATTTTAAACCTGACCTACTGTCCTAATTCTATCATGTAACATCAAACCGAATGACAAGACTCCATAGCTGAGAAAGCAGCTCCAACAGAACAGAAAAGTCAGAGCAAGGTTAATAAAAATATGGAGAATGCTTTGTATAATTTTAAGAAGTCGTGCAAAGTTAGATTTCTCATTCATTGAAAAGTGGAAAAATTCCTGTTTTATCTCAGCTATCAACCATTTGGTAACAAAATCATATCCTTAAAAATTGGAAACTCAAAGCCATTCATTTAGCTTTTTCGTTAATGGCTTGTAATTGTAAAGAGGAATGTGCACTCCTTATCCCATTAAAAGCTGAAAGAGATTCCTGTAAAGTGTTCAAGGCTTGAATGGCCAAATCTTCTGAACTTTGATGTCATGGATAATGTTATACAGTTTTCTATTCAACGTAGCCTATGCACATTTTCTATATAATGGTGTGATGTGAGTAATTCAGAGTGAGAGTACAGAATTCAGTCTATCAGATGTGAATAACATATTGCCAATCATGGAAAGCATTCAGTCTTCCTTTTTACATTGCCCCGTCCATTCTCCATTACCTTAATAGCCTTACTTTGCCAAGACGTATTGCCAAGGCCCTTGAGAGGATGCAGAGGGCATTTACTAGTCTTTGTCCAGGCTCGGGGATTTCAGTTACTGAGTTCGGCTGGAAAGCTGGGGTTGTCCTCCTTGGAACAAAGAAGAGGATGGGAGATTTGATAAAGGTGTACAAGGTGACAACAGGTTTAGTTCCAGTAAACAGGGAAAACCTCTCCTCGTTGGTTAATGGTACAAGGATTTAAGATTTTGGGCAGCATCTGTGAAGGAAAAAACAGTGTTAACATTTCAGGTCCGGTGACCCTTCCTCAGAACTGATGGTGGCTGAGAAAACGTCAGTTTATATGCAGAAAATGGGGAGGTTGGTGGGGTAGGGAGTAAACGATAGGATAGAGCCTATAGAGAGAGAAGAACAGTTGGACAGACAAAGGAGTTGATAATGATCAGGCTGGGAGGATGAATAGTTGTTAATGGGGACTATTAGTGACTAACAACAGGGGGTGTGTAATGGCAGGCTATGTGATAACAAGGCCTGGTGTGTGGGGTAGGGGTTGGGAGAGTTTAGGCCCTAAAATTATTGAACGTGATATTGAGTCCGGAGAGTTGTAGGGTCTCCAAACGGAAAATGAGGTGTTGTTCTTCCAGCTTGCGTTGCGCTTCCCTGGAACACAGCAGCAAGCCAGAGATAGAGATGTTGGCCAGGGAACAGGGAAGTGTGTTAAAGTGGCAGGCAACAGGTAGTTCAGGATCTTTTTTGCGAGCAGAACGTAGATGTTCTGCGAAGCAGTCATCCAGTCTACGCTTCATTTCCCCAATGTAGAGGAGACTACATTGTGAGCAATGAATGCAGCAGACTGGATTCTGGGAAGTGCAGGTGAAGTGTTGCTTCACCTGGAAGATGTGTTTGGGCCCTTGGAATCTTGGCAAGGAGGAGGTAAATGGGCAGGTGTTGCACCTTCGCCAGTTACAGGGGAAGGTGCCATAGGACTGTGGGGAGATGTTGGGGATGAAGGAAGTGTGGACCAGGGTGTCCCGGAGGGAACGGTTCCTGCGGAAGGCAGACAAGGGAGGGGAGGAAAATATGTGGTGGCATCTCCTGGAGGTGGTGGAAATGGCATCTGATGATCTTCTGGACGTGGATGCTGGTGGGATGGTAGGTAAGGTCAAGGGGAAACCCTGTCGCTGTTGCAGGAAGGAAAGAAAGGGTGAGGGCAGAAGTGCGGGAGATGGGTCGGACCCAGTTGACAGCCAGGTCAACAACAGAGCTGGGGAATCCTCGGTTGAGGAAGAAGGTGGACATTTCGGAGGCTCCCTTGTCGAAGTTGGCCTCATCTGAGCATATGCGACAGAGACGGAGGAACTGAGAGAATGGGATGGAGTCTTTACAGGAAGTGGGGTGTAAGGATGTATAGTCCAAGTAGCTGTGGGAATCAGTGGGTTTGTAGTGGATATTAGTGGCCAGTCTATACCCCAGACATGGAAATAGTAATGTCGAGGAAGGGAAGGGACGAGTCAAATCTCTGACTCCCCTCCCCTCCCTTGTCCACCTTCCGCAAGGACCGTTCCCTCCGGCACACGCCGGTCCATACTTCCTTAACCCAAACTCCACCGCACAGCACCTTTCCCTGTAACCGGCGAAGGTGCAACACCTGCCCATTTACCTCCTCCCTCCCCAGTATCCAAGGGCCCAAACATACCTTCCAGGTGAAGCAACACTTCACCTGCACTTCCCAGAAACTAGTCTACAGCATTCACAATCACAATTGTTACAGTGCAGAGGGAAACCAGTTGGCCTTTCTGTCTGCACTAGCTTGCATTTTACTAAGCACTATTCTGCTGTGTACCCATGCAACTTTGCACATTTTTCCTTTTCAAATGACAGTCTGATTTAGCTTTTGAATGCGTCACATGATCTGCTTCCAGTACACACTCAGGAAGGCACCAAGATGTTAACCACGTGCTGCATGAAAAAGAATTTCTTATTTCGATTTCACTTCTTTTGCCAATTACTATAGAAGTGTGCCCTCTTGTTTTCAATGTCTTACAAGTTGATACAGATATTTTTTCCCTACCTGCTCTGTCCAGCCCCCGCATTTTTTTGAATGCCTCTTTTAAATTTTCTCTCAGCCTTTATTTTTTCAAGATAAATATTTGCACGAATCTTCAATACCTTCATCCTTCCTAAAGTGAGATACTCAGAACCAGACCCAATGCTTTAGCTGAAGCCAAATTAGTGTTCTGTACAAGTTCAACATAACCTCCTTGCTCTTGTATTCCATGTCCCTATTCATTAAGCCTACATACATTTTGAACTGTTCATCTGATACCTTATAAAATGACTTCTAAGATCTGAATAGTCCACATCCCTTGCATTCCCTTCATCAAACATCCCTGTTACTTCATAAAATAAAACTCAATTGGATTTGTCATGCATAATCTACCTTTACAAATTTGTGCTGGTCATCCTTAGTTAACTCAAACCTCTCAAAGTGTCTGTTGATTAATTTTCACTGATTATTGTTTCTAAAACGTTATCCACCACCTGATGTTAAACAAATTGACCTGTAGTTACTAAGAAAGAATCGACATATTTTCTTAAACAAGGGAGTCATGCTGTTATAACATGCCTCACAAAGGAAGAGTGGATTTGATTCTGACCTGCTTAGCACAGATAACAGTATTACATTTCTTGTTTGATAGCATGAATCTTGAGTATTGCTGAAAAATAGCAGTTTTTGTCTTGCGCTCATCAGATAATTCTCAGATAAGCAAAGTATAGGGTAAACAGCACTTGCACTGAATGGGAGGAGAAGTTTGGTTGACAAGTGGCCACTGACTGTTCGAGGTGTTGCACAAAAGATGAAGTCGCCCTGTTCCTGGAGACTTCTCATTTCAAATTTTGATTTGGTTTTCCTTATAGATGCTCTGGTTGATGTGTTACTGGTTTTGGTCAGACAATGTCCAACTGTGTGTAACAGCAATCATTTTGGTATTTTGTTGGGGGCTTATGGAGCAACGCTTAGTAACACAGGTAAATCGCTTAGTTCTGAATTTAAATTTCACACAACTGAAATGCAGACGTGATTATTCCAATTTGCTTATCTACCCCTTTCCTTTGCAAAGATCAGAAGCTGCTGATGATCCTGCAGTCTTATGAGAAAAACAACATAAGTCTTGCTGAATACAGGTGAGTAATCCTCCATGTTCAAGTTATATTTATTACAAAAAATCATGAAAATGCCCTAGTTAAATTGTGAGCAGCAGAATGTGAAAACTGTAGGCTTCTATTTCAAAGCATTTCATTACCAGAGGCCATTAAAGAAGAAGGAACTGCATTTGCATAGCGCCTTTCATGATCTGAATTATGCCGAACAGTATTTTACAGCCAGGGAAACGCTTTTTAAGTTGTAGCAGCTAATCATTGCACACTCAAATCCCACAAGCATCAGTCCCATCATGCAGCAACACTGAGTAACTTCTTGAACTTTATGAAATGTGCAACCATCTTTTAAACAACAATAAACAGTGCCCCTGGAAATTGGCCCAATCATTCAGACACCTGTACTTGAGTGAAACGTAATTGTAAGTCATAAAATATTAGCTATTTTTAACGTTTTTCTTCCACAGGATGTAGGCAATGCCAGCATTTGTTGCCCATCCCTAACTGCCCCTGAACTGAACACTCAACTGATATAGCAGGATTGAATCTGTGTCCCCAGAAAATTACCCTGGGCCTCTGGATTTATAGTTCAGTAACAAAACCCCTACACCTGCATTGCCCCTAAATCCCGATAAGTGGAAGATATTTCTGATCTCTTATTTTCCAATAAGACTTAACACTTCTGAAAATAAACTAAATAAAGAGGAAAAATTGTGAAAGGTAGTTGTAGAAAACTGAAAATCCAAATTCCTTTGGTACAATAATATTGCCAATACTCCCTTATGAAGAAATTCAAATGGAACATAATGAGGTATTTTTATTCACCAAATAATGTGTTCTGCTTCATTAATACATTTTTCACAATGCAGTATTTTACTTGTACACTTCAGGAAGCCAACCAAGTTTCCACAGAGTATTGTAGTGCTGCCTTTTAAACCTAATTTCACACTTGTAAATCAGGTAAATGGTGTTAAATGTCTGTTTCTCAGGCTGTTGCTTTGGGGTCCAGCTGCTGTTGAGCACCACAAGACTTGCAAGAGCCTGGGGCCATCCTTGTGGCAACAACCAGGCATGGAAGAAATCCTGTCACTTCTGGACAAAGAGAAAATGTTCCAAACAATTGTTAACTTCCCTCAGTGTCGCTATCTCCTGCCACAGGTGCATTTAGTTGTATTACTATCAATTATTTGTGTTTTTTTTTTAAACTCTTCATATATCTGAGGATATTAATGTAGGCTTGTGTAAAGTCCAGATAATTGGCAGATCTGATTTTATGACACCTGTATGTTATGGCGTAGTCAGTTCCAAATTCATATTGTGAACGTTTTGTCTGTTTCAGGATGGAAAACAGTTAGTATCCAAAGAGTCTAGTATTAAGGAGTCCCACAATCTCTATGATCCTTGTTTTTTGTTGCCCCTCTTCAGTGCATTAATTACATCAGGTATGTAAAAATGACTTTTTAAAAAGATAGTGCTTCCAACTGTAACTTGTTGAGCCTGCCTGAAATGATGGAATGTTTGAAATCCAATCTTTTCCTTGTAAAAACATAACTTAAGACCAAAGCTTGAATGAAGTCAGCCTTAGTGTTTTTAGCAAGATCTAGAGCTATGTGTGAGCTTTATTCAGTTGAAGTATTCTGATTGTATTCCTGTATTGCCATATGCTAAACCTCAATGAATGACGGTTTTCATAATTTTCTCAACACTTTCACAATGCATGATTTGGATTAATATGCACTAATTGTAAGTATACCTTTCAAATGTTGCAAATTGTTTGGGAATATCTTAATTTTAGTGACAAAAGATATTGGCCAGACAAGTGTGCCCTCCCAAATCACGTGAGTTTGATTATGCAAAGGGGGACATTTAATAGTAAACCCTATTGGCTGAGGGGATGCTGCCACTATTCCACTCTACCTTGATTAATTCCGTGATGGAAAGACCCACAGATGGCCTTCTTCCTCTGCTGTCAGATGAGATCCTCAAGTAGCCATTCAATGGCTTCATCCCATCACCACAGGTTTTAACCCAGCAGGCTGTGGGCACACCATAGGGGAATATGACCAGTAAGTCTGTGAAGGACTACTTGCAGGCTACCACGATGATGAAGTGAGAGGATTAGGATGATGCAGTAACAGACATGGCACAAAGTTCCATTGGTTGACCTGATTTTAATTGATTAAAAAGAGCCAATCATGCAAATATGAATGATGCCCATTGCTTTTATCTTTTGTATTCTACAGCTGGTGGCCATCTATAAAGTACCATCGTCTGTTTTGTGAACAGTGCCCTCGTAAACCTCTGTCCTCCCCACCCCAGTGCTGTCATCTCCTGACCTTGGGTCCAGACATACTTTTATTGTTATATTATATATATCTCAATATATTAATGTTATGATATACTATAACATTATTATATAATATTTTATGTGCCAAAATAACAAATTGATTTCTGAGGAAGGGTCACCGGACCCGAAACATTAACTCTGTTGTTTCCTTCGCAGATACTGCCAGACCTGCTGGGCTTTTCCAGCAACTTTGTTTTTGTTCTTGATTTACAGCATCTGCAGTTCTTTCGGTTTTAACAAATTGATTTGTAATTACTTCAGTTTAGTTACATGGCCATACCGTACACAACATGATACTCCCTTTGAGAAACCTGTGCTCAAAGGCCAGGTACTCAAATGGACTGCAGCTGTTCAGAAGGGATTAGCTGAAACAGAATGACAAACATTACCGGTTGTTTAAACAAATCATAAATACTGAAATAACTGCACAGAGGCTGGTATCCCATCACCAAGTCACCCTTTATTTATTTGTGCACAGTACACTGGCTGTGGCCAGCCAGCTCCAGTCAGTTGCCTGAACTGAGGAGATTTCTCCTGGCTAAATTGGTCAGCCAGGGCTTTCATGATTGGCCCAGGTTAACAACCCCAATCAACAATCTCATAGTCAACAAGGTCAACCTGGTTCCAATCCCTACAAATACAAAGCAAACAAGCATGATCTAAGCAGAGCCTCTTTCACTGAAGTAATCTCTGTAAACTCCACTCCTGTTGCATTGATTGACTAATTTCCAATTTATTGAGGACTTCCTGGGGCCACGAACTGACTACAATATCCGTGACTCTGGGGTGGATGCCTGTTTTTTACTGAGAAGCTTTGGCTTAGCCAGAGCACCTGTCACTTAGAGTAACCAGATTTTTCACCGAGAAAGAGCTTTGTTTAATAAGATGGAAAAACTTAGACAAAAGTTCAGAAAATCTTTGAGAAATTCAAGGGAATTCGTGAAGGGAGACTGATATTTTTTCTGAGGTTATGCATCATTGAACTTAAACTTTAAACAAAGTCACCATAGTCTTAGAGCTACTCTCTCATGAGAGACAGAGACAACTGGTGGTGGTTTAACTTGAGAGTCACCCCCATCTCAGGGGAGGGGAGAGGTTGAGAAGGAGAATCCTTCACAATAACCTCAGCCAGTGCAGGAATTGAACCCATGCTGTCAGGGTTACTCTGGCATTGCAAACCAGCTATCCAGCCAACTGAGCTAAACCCTTTAAACAGTTATGAACTAACCAATTACACCTTTGAATTGAATGCAGCTTTTGCTGAATAATTCACAACTAATCTTAAACTGTCTGTCATTCTTGGGCAGAGCTGTTGTTGTCATTGCACTAACCTTCTCCCACACTGACTCGAGTATTCACGAGGTTCCATAGACAGCTTGAATAATAACATTTATCGTTTTATGTAGCAGTTTAAAAATACTCATTTTACAAAGTGACTCCAAATCAGCATTATCAAACTACTCATACCAGTAATGAAAAGATTAATCGAAGAGACAGGATTAAGCTGACTGATTAGAAAGAGTCAGCATTTTTAAACATATTAAAAAATTTAAAACATTTCGACGTGTAAAATTTCTTGATAATTTGACTTAAGAATTCACCTAATCAGAGCACTAAGAGACCAGTCAGCCAAACTAAAGCCTCTCCATGTGTGATTATTGTTGTTTTAGATTTGGATTTTCTTTAAGGGCATTGATATTTCTAAAATGAGAACATGAGTAACACCAGATCATTGAACCCCTACAGTGTGGAACCAGGCCAGTCAGTCCATCGCGTCCACAAAAACCCTCTGAACAGGCGGCACGGTTGCTCAGTGGTTAGCTCTGCTGCCTCTCAGCGCCGTGGACCCAGATTCGATTCCTGCCTCGGGTGACTGTCTGTGTGGAGTTCGCACATTCTCCCCCCGTCTGCGAGGATTTCCTCTGGGTGCTCCAGTATCCTTCCACAGTCCAAAGATATGCAACTTAGGTGGATTGGCCATGCTACATTGACCAAAATATTTAGGAATGTTAACATTAGATGGATTAGCCATGGGAAATTCAGGGTTACAGGGATAGGGTGGAGAGGTGGGCCTGGGTAGGATGACCTTCAGAGGCTTGGTGTGGATTGGATGGCCCGAATAGCCTGCTTCAACACTGTAGGGAATTCTATGGCCAGATGAATGAACGCTCTCAGATATCAGTCCAACACTGGAAGTCTACTGAACCTAACCTAGATACTTGTAATCAATCCTGATTGCTTGATATTTTTTGTTGTCCCCACAGCTCCAGAATTATCTATATTTGTATTTGGTGAAATCTATTTTCTAACTGATTTCCTGCTGTTGTACTAGCCATCATTCTTGAGCTTGTCAATTCGGAAAATATTAGGGCTGGGAAATGGAGCATTCCGATGTCAAATATAGTGCAGACAGTACAGAATGCCGCTTACTTTGCCTTAACCAAACAATATACTTTTGCTTCAATCTCCCAAGAGAATGTATGAACACTTTTCTTCTGTCCTTGCTCAGTTTTTGGTTCAAGGAGTCTCCTTTACCATAGAACAGAAACATGGTGGTCTCCAAAAAAAAAACAAAATTATGGGAATGTGCAGCATTAAACTGTACAGCTTTGTCAGTGAGTTAGTGAGGAAACACAAAATTCTGGAAGTGAATGGAAAATAAATAAGAGACTGTAGGAGAAAGTCCAGAAGTTCGGAGTGGGAGTGGATCAGATTCAGAAATCTTATGATAAGGTAGGTAGGATGAAACCAGCATTAAGTATCAGCAAGCAGTTGTTCACCTTTGGAGACAGTGACGACTGAGTGAAATTCAGGAGTTATGTGGGGACAGAATATTGAAGTTTGCATTGTTAGAGGTATTTTCATGAAAATGAAGATTCATCAAGCCATATAGTTAAGAGAATTTGAGGAGTCCAACAGAGAGTCTGGGATAATAAAGACAAAGGTGAACAGCACATGGCCAAGGATATGTGAAAATCAGGAGGGAGCTGACAGCTAAGCTTGATACACAACATTCGCAACACAAAGATATTTCGGGATACTTGTGCACAAAACACATAAAGCAAGCAGGCAGGTGCAGCAGGTAATCAGGAAGGCGAATGGAATGTTGGCCGTTATTTCAAGGAGTTTGGAGTGTACAGGTAAGGAAATCTTACTGCAACTGTGCAAGGTGTTGATGAGACCACATCTGGCGTGGTCAGTGAGCAGCTTTAATCCCCTTATTTAAGGGAAGTTATCATTTCATTGGAGGTAATTCAGGGAAGCTTTACTAAAATGACCCCTGGTAAGGAGGGATTGTCTAATGAGCAAAGGCCAAACAGATTGGGACTCCACTGGTTGTAATTTAGAAAAATGAGAATTCATCTCATGAATATATAGAATTCTTAAGGGGCTTGACAGCGTAAATTCTGAGGATATTTCCTCTCATGAGAGAGTCTAGGACCAGATGGCATAGTCTCAGAATAAAGGGGCACCGATTTAAGACTGAGATGAGGAGAAATTTCTTCTCTTAGCGAGAGTTGTAGGTCTTTGGAACTCCTTGCCACAGAGATCTGTGTGGGGGGTGCAGTCTTTGTGCATATTTAAGTCTATGATAGATTGTTGATCACGGTGACAGGGAGAGGGATGTGCAGAATGTCAGATCCACAATTATCTAATTAAATGGTAGAGCAGGCTCAAGGGGTCAGACAGTCTACTCCTTTTCCTATTTCTTATGGGGAAATGATTATGGAAAAAGATCGAGCATAGTTGCATTTGCTAAATGAGAAACATGGGATGAAGTTTTGACTGTGTACAAGTCGATGAGTTTTGACTGAGTTAAAAGTGAGCCCATTACCTCATTTTCTGTAACAAGTGAGTCATGGCTGCCAAGTCTAATTTTATACAAAGCTCTGATCATGTGCCATCCAATTCATCACATACACAGATTGTATTTGAAATGTATTTCCTCACAACAGTAGCACTTTCTACAGTTCTGGTATTTTTAAAAAAGAGTAGCACTAAACATTTGTGTCTTGCCTGTTGCTGGTGTAATTCGAACTTTATTCCTGTAGGTCTCTTAATATTTTCTTTTGAGCTCTGTCTTACTGTTCCCTT